TGCACATGCATTTGAATATAAATTTCTGAGATTTTAAATCTGTTATTTTACCTTAATTTTAATTAAAAAATATTTTAAAACCTGCTGATTACCTATAGTATAATTAAATTTCAATATAATGCATGGCAACTGTTGGTAGTTTTGAAGTTTATATATTTTTTTGGCAAACTTTAGTTTTTGACATTTTTGACGGGTTTTTGACGGTTTAAACCAGTATTATACCCTTGTCATGTCAAAAACCACTTTTTGACGTCAAAAACCCAACCCTGGTCTTTACAATTTAAAAACTCATAGAAAAAGTTTTTTGCAATACCAGGACCGTATTTGCACAAATTCACAAAAACAGGTCCCTGGTTGAAAGAATGTGACTCAACGTTTATTTTATATTCACAAATTATGAGCAATTTCTTCAGAATTTTACGAAAACGGACCTTTCACGAAATGTCTGGACAGACCCCTTAAGTGAATATCTAGGTGGTCCTATTGCACCACCAAATTTTCATTGCTGCTGTGAACCCTAACAATGAGTAATACTAAAACATTTTCTACAATAGTAAAAAAAAATTTACAAATGATGTTCATCTTTAAAGGCCAATGCATTTTTTTCCAGTTTAGTTTACTAAATTATGTGGTTTTTATTTTCACACCCAAAAATTATGCATTTTACATTGTCATACTTTTATAAATTAAAATCTTCTTTCAACAGGTGCTGATTATTGCTCCTACTCGAGAAATTGCTTTGCAAATCTGCGATGTTGTCAGAGCTGTTGGATCTGCTTTTAAGGGTTTAACTTGCAATTGCTTCATAGGTGGTATACCTGTTGATAATGATGTAGAACGAGTACATGGCTGTCAGATTATTGTTGGAACCCCTGGTAAGATTTATTAAAAGTTTTTTTTTCTGTATTTTTAATAGTGCCCTTGATTTTTAAATACAAGTTAAAAATATGAACATTTAATGTTGATCAGTTACATATATTAAAAAAAAACTTCTTAAAGTTCAAATTTATGATTATTTGAAAAGGATAAATTTATTTGTGTATTATTTAATGTTATTTGTTTTTATTTTTGAAGATATAGTAAACATACAAAATGTGTAAACTTCATTATTAACATTGCAACAATTATTAAAGATTTATTTAAGCTAATATATACAGTCAAACTCACTTATAGCCAGCCTTAATTTAACGAGAATCTGGATTTAGCGACTTAATTGGAAATGCTTGAATAATACAATGTTTAGTCCATTGGACCATAGCTCGCTTTTTATCAGCCGAGGTCGGTTTTAGTGTGCAATATATTTGTAATTTATAAAATATCTATTTAATTCAACCACCTAATACCTTCTTGGAATTCCAATTTGATGTTGGCTGTGTTTTTCTGGCCGTAAATCATATTATAGAACCTGACAACAAAGAGGCATCCGGTTTTAAAGGGTGAATATTGAGGTTCCTTCACACTTGTATAAGCCAGTTTGTCTGTATATAATTTAAATTAGTAACAATAATTACCTCTTATGTGATGGACCATATCTAAAAAAGTAGTTAGTTGGAGTGTTATTCATTTGTTATCCTGCTTCTTATGTTATTTTGTGCTTGTTCTAGAAATTTGTATTTACCAATAAGGTTAAAATATCCTGGATTTTACCTCTTTTATGAAAATCTACTTAATGCGTTTTTCTAATGACAGATCGAAATCATTTTTTATCTAGGACGTTTGAAGCATTTGTTATCTCTTGGAATTCTACCTGCCAATTCTATTCGCTTACTTGTGTTAGATGAAGCGGATGTTTTGCTGGAATCAAATTTTAAAGATGATTTAGAGTAAGTACTTTAAAACTTACACATTCACAGTTAACAATTTTGTTTACAATTTGAGTCCTTAACTAGGTTCTAAATATTCAACTAGATTTACTACATTAACATAAATATTGGTACTATTATAATATTTAAAACTATCATAATATTTAAGTACATAAACAACTGTAAAGAGTTCATACTTATTTAGATTATGGACTTACTAATTGAAAAAAAAATAAAATCTTTATATTATATATATATGTTTAATTTTCTACCTTGTTTTTTCCTTCTCTGACAAGTAATTTTTCTTTCAGTTTCATCTTTGTTTCTTTGCCAAAAGAAAAACAAGTGATTGCTACAAGTGCTACTTATCCTAAGGAACTTAGATCTTTGACATGCCAGTATTTTAGAAAAGCTTACTTGGCACGCCTCAACCGTAATGAGTTAACGCTCTTAGGTATTCTTTCAAACTGTATTTATGGAAATCAATTATATTACATTTTGCTGTATTTTTAAATCTATAAGCATAATAACTAAAGTTTTCACAATAAATTTTCTTTAGATTTATATTTTTTGCTTTCTTTAGATTTATATATTTTTTACTTTCTTTAGATTTATATATTTTTTACTTTTTTTTATTTTCAACAGCTACTCTGGGAAATCCAACTCTTATTAATCTACTTGTACATTTTAGTAGTTTAAAATTATTGAAAGTTAAATCGTTAATGTAATATTCAGTTATTGTTTTTTATACATATTTGTTTATGTACGTACATGTATTTATGTATGCATAGTTGGACCCCGATTTAGCGAATTCATCGGGACCGAATCTTTTTATTACATCAGTGGTTAGTCCTAACATAGAACTCCAAAACATTCAGCACTAACCTTATAGAACAAACAACCTCATAAAAATATCCATAATTAGAAGCTGTACAACTTATTCAGCTGTCAAAAAATAACGAATTACGCACTGTTTAATTAAAATTTTAAAATATGGATTAAGTAATGTTTGACAATTTTCTTGATTCCTGACTCAAGAAAGCTCTTTTTTTTTTTTTTTTTTTTTACTTTATTGAGAGAAGAAAATGCTGAGTCATCTGCATCTTTCTGCAATAGGTATGTTTCCAGTTTCTAAACCTTGTAAAGCACCCGAAAAGCCTGGCGCAATGTTTTTGTCAAATTCACATAAAATGTTAGGCTTCGTACTGAACAAAAAAACTTTTCAATAGCTTCACAAAGTTCTAAAAATCATATGTTCTGCAAAGCCCAAAAGACCTCACTTCTGTGTGTTGTGGCATAGAGTGAGATAAGGAAGGAATTTCTTGTTCTTATCCTGTGAAAAATGTGTGACAGCTGGCTCTCATCTGCTCCGGTTGAGGTTTGTGCTTCAGTTGCCCATGTTGTCGCATTGTCTTCTCTATTTTTCCTGTTCGATAATCCAATAGTTTTCTATCAAAAATAGTTAAAACTAATCTTTTGTTGCTGAAAGATTTAAGTCATTTGGGGTCTATTTGTTATTGTGTAGGTTTTTGCCTTCATTTTGATTATGGGGGGGGGGGGTCTCGTTTCTGAAATGTGAAATTCAAGAAACGAGATTTTGTTAAAGCAAGGCCTAACTGCATTTTATATATATTATTTTTGTATTTATATATTGTATTTATATATATTATTTATATATGTACTTAATATATATTTTATTTTCTGGATTTAAATATTGTGGTTCCATAAATCAGCTATGAATAAGTCCGTGAAAAAAAAATTATTTGTACTGCACACTATAAAATTGATTATTATACATGAGTAAGAAATAAACATTTTGTTAGTTGGTGGCAATACCAAAATTGATTATTTTATTTGAGTGAAGTTGGTTTTGCTAAGAAAATTTGAAAGTTGTAATTTCTGTTTTATCCATCTTTTTTATTATTTTTCTTGTAATTTATTATTGCCTTTATGACTTCCAACTAAGATTTAAAAAAATTTAATGTTCTCCTTGTAGTACAAATATTGTAATGGGGATGATGTTAAACTTAGATGACCGTAAACTGAGAAGCCTTACAAAGCTTAATATGATTTCTGTTTAGGGACATGGTACAAGTCAGTTTGTATAAATAGAGTATTTTTCAAAAGCATGTGTTAAAAAGTCTAGTTTAAAATTAAAGTTTAAAAACGGAAGTTGCTTCTAAAATTGGGAAGTAAGTCTAGTTTTAATTACTTCAGATGCTGGCTGCATAGCTGCCAACTCTACTGGATTTTGGAAGTTTCTCCTGGTCTACTGGTTTATTTAAAATTCTCCTGGTTTTTGTACATTTTAGAAAATTCCCAAAGATTGAGTAAGTTTCCTAAAGAAATCCCTATTGAAATCGAATTTTTGTACAGATTATTGCTTGCTTGCGTGAATAATTAAATAAGTATTACTAATACATAATGAAGTGAACCTCATTTATAGAAATCAGTTCAAAACTTTTTTTGTTCTGAAATGTTCAGTTTATTTTTATTCAGAGCTCTCTTTTTAAATGAATTAAAAAAATCTTTTAACTATCTTTGATGAATTAAATGCCTATTAATATTCAAAATTATGATTAAAAATAATACATAACATATCAAATATGTTTAATGTCAATTATAACTGGAAAACATTGCAGTTTTTCTATTTTGATGATTATAAAAATCCCTAAAATTCCCTATGTGTAAAATACTTTGTACATTATTCAACGATTATCATGAAATTTTTATTATTTCGTAAAATCTACTGGATTTTTTCCTATCCATGTTGGCAGCTATGTGGCTGGCTTATTTATATGGATATTTTTTATTTATGTTTTTCTTTTTCTCTGCAGGTATGGTGCACTATATTCAGGTTTTGGAATTATCTAAAATGTCGGTTATGGCGTACAAGACTAAGCTTGAGGCATTGGAAAAAGTCTTAACATCTGTAAATTTTACTCAATGCTTGGTATTTTGCAATCTCATTACAAGGTCAGTGATTTTTTAAAATTTATCTTCACAGATTTTTTCAATGTATCTGCTTGGATTGCTGCGTTACCTGAAAAATTTAGAAATTGTCCAAGGGGAATTTTACATTTTCAAGCCAAAATCTGGAAAAGTGGGAGGGTTTGGCAAAGGCCAAGCTTGCGATTTTTGCACCAATATTTCTCATGGAACACATTTCCTGTGCAGGAGCTTCTTTTTTTCCCATTTGAAATTAATAAAAGTAAAATAATGTATAAATGGCAAATATTTATTTTTTGTGGTTCACTGTGTGTTTTCTTCACATCTTGTTTTGCACGTCCATATTCCAACATAGATCAGCAATTTTTAAAAATATATCTGGAAAAGTTAAGGAATTTTATTTTTCTATTTTAGTAGCAGTCCTAATGCAACCTCACTAAAATATGCACTTCCCATATAAAATAAAACAGCCTTGTAATGATCAAAAATAATCACAAAATGCTTTTAGCAAATAAAAGTATATTTGCTCATTGTTCTTTCTTTTTTTTTCATATCTATTTAAACTGAAAAAATTATCACATTTGTTGTAAAATTATTCAAAACATTAGTTTTATTGTATGTTTTATTAATTATTTTATTCATTTTTGAGAAAGCAATGCCATGCAATTTCAAATTTCCCTTAATATTTTGTTGACTTCATTGAAAATTCTTGTAAATTACTTAATTTGCCTCATTTATATTTCTTCATTTTTATTATATAAGCTAAGGAACTACTAACTGTGTGTCAAAGCTGTTCAATATATGTATATATATATGTATATATATATATTTATATATATATTTTTTGTGTGTGAATGCTTTTCTTGTTTCACTATTTTATAAATTAGTTTCAAATCAAAGATAATTCTTGAATATTTTAGATTTCTTTGCTCTTACTTTATTATATATTTTACAAACTAATAATATATGATATCTGTGTAAAAATTATTCAAAACAAACAATGTACTTTTCTTATTTCACAATCTTATAAATAAGTTTTATTTTTAAATTTTGGGAGATTCCTTGCACTATCAAATTTCTTGACAACTTTTACATTTTCTTTAATGATGTAACTAATAGTGATTTGGTCAAATACTGAATATTCGGCCAATAATATCGACTGATTACCAAGTATTTGGCCAAATAGTAACTATTTTTAAAATTACTAATAAATATTTCTTAATCTACAAATAAGTTTAGTCATTATTGAAAAGTAACATATTATTGGTATGGGGTGAAGGGAAAAAATATTAATAAAAATGTTTTAGATGATAAAGATAATTAGATATAATGAAATATTTAAGATTAATGAAAAACTGTCTAACAGCTATTCTAAAAAAAAAAAAATAAAAAAAAACTTAAGTTGTAATGTTAAAAAGGAATCTCATTTATTTGTAAAATTTCATAAGAAGTTAATTTTTACTGTTAACACAGTCACCCAATTTCGGGTTTACGACTACTAATGTTCAACCCCTTAGCCTTGTAATTTTGAACCAATCCAGAAGACAAGGTAACTCCTGGATCAGTACCCGCAGAGGTACACAGACCCATTGCCATAAACAGAACTTGCAAAATTATATGGATACAATCTGGTACTATGAATGAGACCTAAATAAACCAGTAACTTACTGTACAAAGCACAGCCGCCAAAAGATTTTTACTGTTACTTTTTTTCTTTTAATATTTTTTTACTTAGTTTTATTAGTATTTAAGACTGTTCAGGAACCACTTTTGGTCCCCTGGTCTGTAGGCTGTGCATCTCTGAACAAAAACAAGTTATTATTAAAAAGACTGTATCAAAAAACTTTATTTTGAAATGAATATTTCTTTCCAGAGTTGAACCTCTTTCCTATGACGTTAAAACCTGGGGTTTTACATGTACTTTTATTAGCAGTGCTAAAGAACAATGTGATCGTATCAAAGCCATTGAGTGTTTAAAACATTTTAAGTGCAAAGTTCTTGTTACCAGTGATGTAGTAAGTATTGAAATATTTTGTTTAATTTTTTAAAATTATCATTAATTTTCTGATTTAACATTCAAAAGAAATTAGTTTTAAATGTCTATGTCTTTATTTATGAGTCATTTTACTTAATTTTGGTGTTATTAGAAAAAGTCAGCACTATGTAATTAAGCTATTAAAATGCTTAAAATATTTGCATAGTTTAAAAAAAATAATTTTTTTTTGAAATAATATTTAGGGAATTTTTTTTCAAATTTCAATAATTTTTGACTGGAGGATAATTTTTGCCTCCCTTTTGTTTTCTTATAATTAAAAGTAACAAACTTTTCAACATAAAAAAAGTCTTTAACCTATTTTTTTTTTTTAAACTGCTCAAAAGCGAAGTTTCTTCAATTCAATGTTTTTCATCATAATGTTAAGTGTCATTTATCAGTATTAAAAAAAAAAATCAAGGGGGTATGTTTTTCTTTTTGGTCATTAAAATATAGGAAGTGGTTTTTAGCAAATACTGTCTTATTTGTGACTTTTTTTAAAATAGATTTATTGCTTATTTACTTATCAAACCAGTTGATATGAGAAAATATGTATGCTTTTTTTTTCCAAGTATAACTTAGTTCATATTACATAAATCTATACAAGAAAATACAGAGTTATATCTCCTGTATCGTCCTGTGCAGAATTCTTTATGAACTGTTCTTATATATTGCTATCATGTATTCCTGTAATTTATTGTTTTCTTTTTCAGACTTCCAGAGGTATTGATGCTGAGAATGTTGATCTTGTTGTCAATTTTGATAAGCCAGTTAATTCAGATGTGTATTTCCATCGTTGTGGACGTGCTGGAAGATATGGTATTAAATACCTTACTTCTTTATTGGTTTCAAATGATTTTTAGCATAAAAATTTAAAGCATGTTAAATAAAATTTTGAATATTTTTTATAAAAAAAAACAATATTTATATTGAATTGTCTTATTTCAGAGTACTAGGTTTTTATTTATAATATGTGCGTTCATTAGGTATAAGTTATGCATATTTTAATAAATTTTATTTATTTTCTGTACAAAGCAGTAATGTTTTTTAATTTTTATGTTAGGTGCAAAAGGAGTAGCCATAACTCTCCTTGATAAGAATGAGGTTGTAGCATTTGAACAGATGAAAGTAAAGCATAACTTCAAAGCATATAATCTTCCTGGTAATTATAATTTCTATTAAAGTTTACTAAATTATACAACACTGGTTTTCATATTGCTAGTATAAGTTTATATTATTCCCTGTGGCAGAATAGCAGCAACACGGCGACATTGTCGCAGAAAGTTACAGTTCTTGCAGAAAGATTTTTCTTTTGAAAAGTAAAATATCTTTTCTTTTCTACAGAAATTTACACGGGAATTGCGGATTTTAAAAACACCGATATATTTCAAACAATACTGAAAATTCGAATCCTGCATTTGAGTATTTTTTTAAAGCAATAATTCTATCGAATTTTCGGCAGTTATTGCTATTGATTTCTCCTTAGTTTTTAAGTCCGATATTTTGTATTCGATATTATTTATTGCAAATAATCTCGAAACGAAACATGCATTTGAGAAGTCTGATTTGTGTGATTTCATTGTAAATTTTTTTGTTTTTTCTTAGAATTTCTTTTTAATCTTTTTATCTTAATCTGCAGATTGCATGATTTTAAATTCCTTTTTTTTATTGTGATGATTATTTACGAAAAAGGAAATAGTGTGTTGTTTTCTTCCCCAACAAAATCCGAGAGCATCACTCATAATATTAGAATAAAAAATTATTGCACGTTCAATTAAAAATAATTATAAAATTTTTTATTTATGTAGACACAGCGCTTTCATTATTTTTAATTAGTAACATATATGTTTGTTATTACTAAAAGTATGTTGCAGAAAGATATTAGTGCTAGATAGTTTTTTGCAGATGGCTCGGGAAAAATCTGCCACAGGGATATTATTATTTAAGTTTACAATTACTTATAAAAAATATTCAGTTTGCTTTTATTCACAATGAACATGTCTTAAGTATAAATAAGGGAGAAAAACTAAAATGTGTTTTTGATGTTATTAAATTGCTAAAGGAGAAAAGAATATATTTCTCCCTAACTAGGAAAATGTTTTAGAAGTTATGGACATAAAACAGCATATCCCAAACTTTCGAGTTTGGTGCAAGATATATTTATCAGTGTTAGAGGAGTATAGTTGGAATTCTTAAAAAAAAATTTAACTCTTAAAAAAGACCCTTAATAAGAAGGCATTTATTTAAACACGACGAATTGAATTCTCTAACTGACCTTTAATTTATATGTTCATGTAGCGTATCTACCACTACAAAATTACAACTACAATTCACTAGTATATAAGACATGTTAACTCGACTCTATGTAGGGGGTTCCTTTTCATAGATGACGGTTGACATGGTCTGTAATTACTAATCCCCACATTGGTGACCTTCGGACGTGATGTGAACACGCCTACCTTGGCAAAAACGCCCACTTTGATCTGGATACGCCTACATCGGCAGTAACGCCTACTTCGTTGGATGGTCCACATTGAACAGTTGACTTGCTACTTGTGACTGCATCATTATCCACCTCCTCACGCTGTTGCTACTCAGTCTCATCTCGATCACACACAACGTTGGCTTGCATACACTCGACTGCTAACGGCAACACAGGAGCGACTACAACCGTGAAGTTAATACACCTCTCACATTCAGCACTCAAAAAAATACGGTGATCTTAATACAGCTCTCCCGGCTTCGCACAAAACAGCAATGAATCAACTAGTGGCATCCATTCATCGAATTCTATCATAGCTATAATTCTGGTGGGGGAGTACTGTAGCGTATCTACCACTACAAAATTACAACTACAATTCACTAGTATATAAGACATGTTAACTCGACTCTATGTAGGGGGTACCTTTTCATAGATGACGGTTGACATGGTCTGTAACAACTCTCCCCACATTCACATTATTTACATGTATTGGTGGATAAAATTCTTTTAACTCTTTAATTAAGTTATTAATAGATTTCCTTTATTTACCACTAGAAAAATTACTTTTTGAAACTATGCAAATTCCATCGTAGCTGGAGGATATGAAAGAGTCTTCCTTTGTTTTCATTGCTAATTTCTATTTTTTTTAAAAATTAAAAAAGGAATGAAGTTATTTAAAAGATTTATTTTGTCCTTTCAGATCCCATTCCAGCCAATCTAATAAATATTAGGCCTGATGATTCTGACTCATCGACTGAAGATTCAGAAGGTATTGAGAATTTTTCTGAAGAATTTGAAGAAAAAGACTCTGATCATATGAATGGCAATTCTAGTGATAATAGTGGCAACTTGAAAAAAAAGAACAATAGTGTCGATTCGTGCAAATCAAACAATGCAAAGGTGGACATAAATGGACATACGATCAAAAAGAAAGATAAGGATACTAATCTGGAATCGAGTGCTCTTAGTGAGTTGAATACAGCAAATAAAAAGGATAACTGTACAGTGAAGAAGGAGTCCAGTGTTTCAGACAGTATAGAGCAGAATTCAGTTTCGGAAGTGGTTACAAGTAATGGCGATGATCAAATTGTTAGTGAAATTAATGGAACTGAATTAGCAAAAGATAAAAATTCATTTCTTGAATATTTAGAGAGTGGATCTAAAGATATTAGATCTTCTCCTAATAATGCTACAGGTTCTGATTCTGTTGTTGTATCTAATGATAATATCTTTTCACAAGAGCTTAAAAGTAAAACTACTTTTGAAGCAAATGGTAGCCAAGATTCTTCTGAGAAGCAGTGTATGAATAATGTCAAGAATGCATTGGAAGTTGATACTAATGGAAAAGATTCAAATACCTCTGAGCATAATGTGAGTGAGTATGAGATTAAAGAGATAATTGAAAAATTGATTCCTTCATCAGATACACTTGAGTCCATTAGTCAAGAGAAAAATACTGTATCAATTGATACTCCAACTTCTACGTTGTCAAATACACCAGAATTAGACAAACTTCATAACGAAGGTTCAAATAAAACAAAGACAGTTTTAGTTCCAAATCAAATACAACTTTCAGTTGGGAAGTTTTTAATGAAATGTATGAACAATGAGGCAAATAACTCGCCAGAAATTGATTCTTCTCCCTCTTATAAAGACTGCTCTGATAATAAGACTGAAACAGACCAGGATTTAACAAAAACATTTAAAGATATTAGAGGAAATTTGACCGATTTCTATTCTAAGGTGTTTCAAGCTTATAAAGCTGAAAATCTTACTGATGCTGCAATTGAGAATGTTAACAATCTTACAATGCAGCAGGAAGAATCTGTTAAAGAAAATGTTAACCATGGCAATACAGAAGCTGTGTCCCACAAAATAACAAATTGTAATGAAAAAATAACTAAAAATATTCATGATGAACTAAAGAAAGAGGATAAAAATTCTTCTGATTTAAAATCCAGTGATGTTAATGTCTGTGATATTAGTTTGTATTCTGAAGTTCCAAATGAATCTATTATATCTGAGAAAAATAAAGCATCAGGATTTGGTCAGGTTTTTGAAAGACATGTTTTTAAAGAGAATTCTGCAGATACCTCTTCGAGTAGTTCAGATAGTGATGAGGATCCATTTTTGACTTTAGAACGTGCTTTCCACGCTGCGAAAACTTCTGAAAAAGCCAAATCTAAAACAACTTTGAATGCTAGTCAAAAAGGAGGGAAAGAGAAATATATTAATATGAAGAAAAAAAAGTTCCCTTTGGCTGCAGATAAAGGACGACATTCCTCGCCACTCGACTCTGGAGAATCGAGTGACAGCTCTACGGTTAGTTCTAGTGACGAAGATACTGAAAACATGCTTCAAGAAGTAGATGGAGCTAAGAAAATGTACAGTGGAATGCAAAATTTTAAACGTGAATCCAAGAAGTTCCATCTAGCTAAACAAAAAAGCAAACTTGGAGTCAAACCATGTAATGCGATAAGAATCAGTGATAATTTTAACAAGACACTCACAGAATCTTCTGAAATATCAGAATCTGAAAGCCTGACTAGTTCACAATCTGTTCATAATGCTTCTACTCCCTATTTTAAAGGATCAAAATCAGCTAATAGAGGGCATCAACGTGGCACACGTGCAGCTAACTACAGAAATTTACCATTCCCAAGTCATCATTATGGAAATGTTTCTCTCATGAGTCAGCCTCAAGAGCACTCCACTAGTGCAGTGAATGATGGAAGCATCGCATCCACGAGTCAGCCTCATGAACATAATGACTGCACAGTGAACTATGGAACCTTTCCGGCCATGAATTGCCATCAGGAACGCCAGTTGGATGGCTATGCATGCAATCACCAAATTAATGGACATGCTTCGCACAATTACAGACCTAACCATGTGAATACGCCTCATATAGGTCATGAAAGTCATTGTCAAAACTGCAGCGCAGATTGGTATCAAATGTACATGAAACAATGGCAATTTATTCATTCTTCTCTATTTTGAACATTCTATTTTTTTCCCTAACGTTTTTAAAGAGCTTAAATGTTCCTTTATGTTTTTTAAACTTAATTTGTTTTTGTAAAATATACTTGTGAGTTGCATTTTAAAAATTAAAGAAAACTAAGTGTTCTGCATCAATGTTATTAAATTCATTATTTGTATATGTACTGTGTTGCTAATAAGTTTTGTATAAAAGTTTATCAAAATACATTCAACAAATATGAAGTGGAGAAAGAAGATCTGAATTCTTACTTAGCATTTACTTTAAGAGATAGAAAATAGTAAAAATCTAATGAATGTGAAAATAATCATTAAAATGTTCAGAATATATATAGTTTTTTTTCCAGTTTGATTTAAAAGTGATTTTTATAAATTATTTACTACTTTCTGGATTTTCACGAGGGATGTAGCGAATATTCGGCCCTTTCGTCGAACATTCACCAAAGTATTATTTGAAATATTATTTTTTGACAGAAGCTTTTTTAGGGGGATATTTTAATAGATTAAAAAGAATAATATAAAATCTTATTTTTTACTATATATTATTTGAAATAGTTTTTACACATTTTTGTTAAATTCAAAAACCTTTGTGTTCTGAAAGACTCGTGGAAAAGCGAAATTTGAAGAAATAAAATTAGATTACTTTATACTGAACCATGAGTTTTGTAATGAATTTTTTATTTTATTAAGGCAAGTTAATTTCATCGTTTTTTTTAACACTTTATGTTTTAAAAATTGAGAGCTTTTTTTTTGTTTGTTTTTCAGTTTTAACTAAGGAGAAGCATATTAACAAATAGTTTCTAATTGACTTGATTTTTTTTTTCTTGTACAATGATACAAATAATTAGTCACATAGAAAACAAAGATTCTTAACAATTAAGTTATATTTCAGAATTGAGAAAAAAAAATTCTGTTTCTCCTTTAATTTTTCTTTTTATAAACATTTTTATTTTTATTTTACAGTATATTTTAAAGAGTTTTTAATGAAAGTTATTCTTTTTTATGGTTACTTTATCTTAAAAATGTGGCATTGTGAAAAAGTTCAATTAAATTTTATCTACAAATCTTTGGTTTGAAAAATTAAGAACGATTTTTGTTTTGGTTTCTATCTAGCTTTTTCAAACGACTCATGTTTTTATTACAACATGGCAATTAAGAGGGTTCCTATTAGTCTTTTATCTTAACTTTTTTCTTGAAAAATACGGAAATTGGAAAACTGAAATGTTTAGCTTTAAAATTTTCTTTCAAAAATTGAGATCGATTTTTATCTTTTCTGTTATGCTTTTGTATATAATCTTAGTTTTTTTGTATGCATTTTAATGATGGCGCTGTATTAGACATATCTTTTTAATGTTTTTATGGAAAAAAATTTTTTAGCAAGTTTTGTTTTAAGATGTTATTTTTTTATTATTTCTTTACTTTTTATTTTATTAATAGTACTTTTTTTTTATCTTAAATATTTGTGATTTTCTTAATATATAATTATCTTTAATATATCGATTAAAGTTTTTTCCCTTTATCCCATAATGATACATCTAAGTTTTGATTATTTTTCTATAATGACTTAACTTATTTCTATATAGAAATATTTATTAATTTTCAAAAAAAATTTGCTATTCGGTCAATTTTGTTTGGCTGAATATTCGGTATTCGGCCAAATCACTTTTCGTTACATCCCTGATTTTCACAAAAAAAATCAATAAAATGTGATATTGTAACTGTGAGTTGTAAAAAATAAATCCTTACAAACAAAAAAAATGCTTTTTACTGCTTAATTTCCATATGATTAACTTTAAAATGGCACACCTATACATTTTTAAAAATATGATTTTAATAAATATCAAGTAATAAAAAAATTATGATTTTAAAAAATATTAAGTAATAAAAAATATCTTTTACTAAAAAAACATAATTCTTAAAAAATAAATATTGTTAGAATCTTTATGCAAGTTCTTCAATTATTAATTAGTGAAAAAAATCGGGAGAAATTGATGTTTGGAACATATTTTCACAATCTTATCCTTTGTTACTTATTCAAAATGAATAGTTATAGATCTAGAAACTGGTAAAAAAAAATTGCATTATCATTCTATTGTTAAAACATAATTTTATTTTGAAGAATGTATTAATAAAAAATTACTGGAATTATGCTTTGCTCTGATGAGTTGTAATGTACAACAGATTGAAAACACATATAACTAACATAACTTAGACACCTATCAATCAGGAATGTTAAAGTGACTATTTTAACATTCCTAAAACATTTTCTAGAAGTGATAGCTGAATAATCATGTAAACTTTCAGTGATGTCACCTTTGAGGATTAAGTTTTGTTAGATCATATGGTCCAATGATTTTTAACATTCAAAATTAATTATGAATACTATACTTGATTGTTTTAACACTAAATTTTTTTAGGATACATTCAATATCATACTAGTTGAACTACTTTTTAAAGCAGATAAAAATTTAAAAAAAAAACGATTCACAGAACAATCAGGGTGGCCACCCACCTGGAATTATCAGGGAATTTTTTTATACTGGAAAAAACCTGGAAATATCAGGGAAATTTGGATAAAAACCTGGAAAAATCAGGGATTTTTAAAGAAAAGCTGGAAATTTTTCTTTGGTGATTTTTCAAATTTCACTAATTTAAATTATTTGCTAATTTTCTTAATTTAAATTATTTCATCCATTATACCCACTTTTTTTTAACGGAAATGTATCGCCAAACAGTTGAAATATCATCAACTTAGCGATACTTTGCTTGCATCAAAATTTGCTCCATTATAGTTCTGTTAAACTAGAATGCCATATAAAATTCTTCCACGGTTGCTAAACAAATGTGGAAACTTTTGACCGCTATGGGAATTTAGGAAAATTTAGGTAAGATTCTGGTGGAAAAAGGGATTAGGATATTAGCTTCTGTTTTTAAATTCTGTCCTTGGGCTAAATCCATTTATGGCTCAAGTTTGTTCCGATGCTTTGGTGGTTTTTTTTTTTCTCTATTTTGACAAAATGTTTTTGTATTTTTAACTTTATAAAATTCTCCAAAAATTAGTTGGTTATAATTTTATGATAATAGATTTTATATCGCACTCTTTTTCTGAAAGCTTTTCTACTCCTATTCAAAGAAATCTGTGAATTATTTTTTCTGAGCAAACCAACCAATCACACATTTTTTTACAATCACTAACAGCAATGTTTGTCGACAAATTTTTACAATTGTTGCATTAATGCTAATTTTTTCTATTTCATTTTAACCTCTTATAACATATTTTAATTTTAAACAAAAAAGGCTCCTTTGTTGGTCAATATATGATTTTTGATTCAAAATTTTGTGCCAAAACATTAAAAAATAAATAAAAAATCTTGAAAATTGTCAAAATAAATTATTTTTTTCAAGATGATATGTTAAAAAAATAACATTTTGAATAAAATATTTTATAATATAGACACTTTTCTTGTACACATCCTATACTTTATAAGAAAAAAGAAACAAAAACCTGGAAATTTTAAGATTTTTATCTGGAAAACCTGGAAAAATCAGGGAAATTTGAAATCTGATTTGAGTGGCCACCCTGACAATATGTGAAAGTTGATTTACAATAGTAAGCTGCCAAGAAGGGAAATAAGATATTTGGTTAAGAGACTCTTTCTTTTGAAGTAACAATAGCCTCGTCCAATTTTTCTGTAATTGATAAGTGCATTTTTTTTCTTTGTGGAAAACTAATGGGATTTAAAAATTAGCTTAAATTATTAGTTCTGATCTTTCTCAAATATTATTTTTTTTGGCTATGTTCATTAGGTAAGTTTACTAAGGATATTAATCTATATAACACAAAATACTATATTATGCAAAGCCTCGTACTGTAGGGTTTATGTTAAAAAGAGCTGTAGATATAAAAATTTATATTTTTTATTTATTTAATAGTTGCGGGCCTCAATTTTTTTTCTGGCTAAATTCAATGGCGATTGTGTTCCAGGTTTTTCGCATTTTCCTTAGAGGTCTAGGAACAAGGCATGCGATTTTTTTGCGAAATTTCCGCAATCTCAAGACCATCGATTAGTGTATTCACATAATTTAAAATTCCAAAATCTCAATTTGTATTTTTGTGTTCTTAAAATCCAATATCGCGATTCTTGTAAGAACTGGTTTTTTTCTCGGATTGGTTACATTAAAGGTATGATATTCTTCATCGATAGGAAATCTAATTATAAATCTCAGTTCAAAAAATTACATTAAATATGAATAGTATATAAATTGATATCTTGTTATCGAGGTTCACTTGGTGTCACAAATACCTCTACAAATTCTTGGAATGCTCAATTAAAAAAGTTGGAAACAGCTGTCCTATTTCATTAAGTTACCTCCATTTTGTAACTTTCAAGTTCAAAAGTTTTAAGAAAAATAGATAAATGTAAAATGTAGAGTGAACAAAGAAAAAAAAAAGTGAATAAAAAAACTAATCTAAGATGAGATATGGGGTCTAATAATTCAAATTACTGATAACAATTCACTAGAACAATTTTTTTTTTTAAAAATAAAAAGGGATATTTTTTTATCTAACTATAATTCAAAGTTATAATTATCAAGGTTTAACTGTTTTTGATTCATTCAGCATACTTTAATACAAATTTCCATTTACAATTTCTACAAGTAACAGACATTTAGATAATTTAAGCTTTTAATAACATTTAATTATTTCAATACTTTTTTAAAACAATTTCATCTTTACATTTAAATAAAACATTGCACTAAACTGACTAAGAGCGTAATCTTGCACTCAATGCAACCGGCTGAATGTTTTTACAGTCTTCTAAGGATTCAAATGTATGAATTGTATCCCCTAGTAGAATATGTACAAATATTCTTCTATCATCAGCTTCAAATAAAGAATTAATTTGACCACAATAATCTTGTGCATTTGGTAAAGGAAGTGAATGCAAAAGTTCTCCGTCACTCAGTGACCATAGTCTAGTGATGTTATCTTCACCAGGAGCACACAAGATGTTAGCTGACTCATTAAAACTAAAAGTTAATTTTTTATAGAGGCTGTAGTGATGTGGATATTGAAAGACTTCTTTTTTGGCTCTCAAATCAACCTAGAAAGGAAATAGAGAAAAGTATTATTAGTTTGCTACAGTTGATAATAGATATTAGAGGATTTAAGAAGACTTTTTTTTCCCCCAACCCCCACCCGATTGACACTTCTCATTCAAGTATCAGTAGGGCAGATTTGCTGACCACTCTTTTAGGGGCACCATATTAAGTGGGCTAACATTGCTCCCACAAAAAAGACAAATAGTACAGAGAATGAAAGAAAATCCATGCCTTGTCCAGGATTCAAACACAGGACCTTTCTGATGCAAGGTCAATTCCTTGACTACTAAACAGTTCGGTAAGCGATATCAGAAAACAAATGTTATAAAAAAATAAAACAATGAGTATCACTGTAGAATTGCTTAATTATGAACCAAATATTCTTGATTTATATCTCGGTGTATAAGTCAACTACTAAAAAAACCAAACAATATAGATTTTTAAAATTTAAAAACAAAACCACAAACCAGCAAAATTTTTCAAATTAAAAATATTTTACATTGTTAACGTATACCTTCAAATAAAGATAAATGACGTTATTAAATCTTAAAGAAATAGATGATGTTCTGGAATTTGTAACTTCATTATGGTATACACCGACACCAAATATCAAGAGTTGTAAACAATTTTATAAGCAAGTTATTAGATTAAATGAACAAATTTTTCAACGAGGACCAGTTGTATGTATTACCATAATTAATTAAGCATCACAGGTAATAATAGTAGTTAGTGATTTTTTACAGCCACCTGTAGTGAATAAGTACCAAAATGAAATAAATTCTAGGAACAATTTAAGATTTCCACCTCAGCCCACCAAGACACCAAAGGGATTTTAAACTTGAAATATGTTTTTTTTTTTTCAAAATTTTTTTAGAGTTTTGCCCCAGGATGACTACAAGTTATATCCTTTAAGTTAATATTCAGGGGTCTGTCCAGACCAAATTTACTACCATTTAGCAGTACCTTCACAAATTCAACTTTAGGAAAAACGGTAGCTTCACAAATTACTTTTTTTAAAAAATTTTATATTTGTATCCTGTGAGAAACGGTAAATCCATATTTTTTTCCAAAAATTCATAAAATAGGTACCTCTCAGAAAAACCTAGACAGACCCCTGATATTATTTATCCTTCGGTATTTCCCAGAAGTCACCAAGTACCTCTCAGAAAAACCTAGACAGACCCCTGATATTATTTATCCTTCGGTATTTCCCAGAAGTCACCAATATTTGGAGATTACTTTTAAGTTCAGATTAAGAAATCTTCCAAATATTGTAAGGGAAAGTATAAATTTATCACCTAAAAAAGGTTATAGTCAAGTAGTTTAAACGATTAGTTTAACATATCCTCATTTTATTTTAATATTTGTAAAATGCTACCAGATCACACACATCGTATCTAACCCTCTACAAAAAAACCCAGAATTTTTTAATATGAAATTCTATTATTGTAGAAAACTATCAAGCAAAACTAAGAAAACATCTAATCTATACAATCTATTAATTACTACTTTGCCATCTTTAAGAATGGAAAAAGTATTTTCAAGCATTAAGTGAGTTTAGTCTGAATTGTGAAATAGATAATGGGGAGATTTCCGTATCGTGATCTGCGACAGAATGATCGCCAAATCTTGGCTACTTCCATGCAGCGTCCGAGAAATTAAAAAAACATCACACAAAGGGAGCAACTCAAAAGGTATAACTAGTTACCATCCCCAAGCAAACATCTACAGCCTTTTTTTTTCTTAAAAATTTGCAAGTTTAAAATCTATTTGGCAGTTGTCATTAGAGTAACAGATCATGATACAGGAATATTCCCATTTCTGTATCAGTACCTGATTGCACCAACTAAATTAGCTAAGATATCAAGGCTTTTTTGAACTAGAGATACATAATTGTTTGCTTAGGTACGATAAGCTTCTACAGGGTGCGTAGTGTTTTTAAAAAGTGCTTAAAGGTGCTTATTTTCATTTTTTAAAAGACCTTAAAGGTGCTTTTTTCATTGGGTGTTTTCAAAAAGTGCTTAATTTTCCCCTTTTCAAAATGAGATTTTTCCTTTACTATGTTGGTTTTTGCTTCGAATTATGCAAAAAGACACAGTTCACATTGTTCTCATTTAACGTTTTCAAAATTAATTCAACCCCAATCTATTTCGGCGTATAGTCAGTCCGTGGCGTATGAAAACGCCATTCGTTTTACATGATTCAAAATTTCATGATTTTTGACAATTGTAAAAAACAATGCCTAATTTTTTTTTAAAACAAGATAACAAGATAAAACCGTCGACTGTTAAAAACTTTCCAACCCTGCCTAATTAGGATATTTTTTTAAAGTACTTAAAAATATTTTTTGAGCGCTTGAAAAGTGCTTAAAAGGTGCTTATTTTTTGTTGAATAATTTGGCTATGCACTCAGATCTATAGATGAAAATAAATACTAACATTGAGGAGAACACTATTGAATCCACTTGCAACCACATTCCTCTCATGAGACATAAGTTTTATATATGATATATTAGTACATAAGGGTATAGTCATAGCAGGTACAGCTTCAGTACGAAGATCATAGCACACTAAGTCGCCCTGATGAAGACCACAGTACAAAATATTGCCATCACTATTAAAATCTAAAGAATACGGTTGTCCTTTCGATAACTCAATCTTCTTAGAAAAGCTCTGGTAGTCATGTAAGTAAAAGCATCTATCAGCGCCTATTGCAAATCGTTTTTTATTATCGTTCCAAGAGCAACTCCAGAGTATATCTTGATGCTCAAACCTTCTAACAATATCATCTCGCGGTGCCTCACCTCCATTATTAACTCCAGCACGAGCAAGATAGGCCATGTTTTTATGCCGAGAATAGGAATTAGCCACATAAAGTACATAATCTTGATTGCCACTAGTTAAACCACACATATCAAATACTTTGTAACTAGGTAGTGTAGCAATATGTGTGTAGGAAACTTGTGAAATACTAGTCTCAACGTTGTTGCTTTTTGAATCGAGCTTTTTGTATTGGAATGACACAGATTCAAGTAATGTGGCTGAATACTCATGATAGGTCCATGCTCCTATTATATTTCGTTTAAAACCAGTAACATAGTAGCAATTTACATAATCCGAAAAGTCTATTTGACTCATGCTGACCCATTTTAGCTGTCGCATTTTCAGTTTTAAAATTTGAGAGTTGAAATTACTCTGACTAGTCATTCCATTTTCGCGGTATGATAGGCATTGGGGAAAAGAAAATTTACTTTTTTGAGTCTTTCCACAATGTAGGTTCAATTCCAAAGGTTTAAAATTCAAATGAGCTGCATCTTCTCTTCTTTTTTTATATGGATTTTCAACAGTAAGAATGGGATTCATGATTTCAGAAGCATTTCTGTAATTCGAAGCGTTATTCCATTGACGGTCATGCATTCGCAAAAAATCTTCTTCTGAAATTTCATTGTCTTCTAAGTCCATGGCTGATAATTAATTGTTTATAAACATAATAGAATGTGAAATTCTGCAACAAATATTACAAAGTTATATACATAAGTTGTGTTCAAAAATTCTGATTTAGTAGTAAACAACATGAGAAGAGTTTTGTGAAATTCATCTATAAACTTATCAATCAGTTGAACCGGTTGTATTTTATGAACTGAGAACTTTACAAAATATAATGTAACTTTAAAATTAAACAAACAAAAACTGAAAAAAATGATGAGCTGTAAAAAGTTTCGCACATTTGCGAACAATGGCGAAGCCGGGGTTTTGTTTACATTTCATATTTTTTTTAAACAAATTGCTTTTCACGAAAAATTCCAGAAATATGAGTTGGTTTTCTTCAAAAATTTGGCATTTTTAAATGAAGCTTTTAATTTATTTTTAAATTTGTAACAGGAGCAAATATTGAGAAAGATTTTGAATTTTTTTTTAACAGTGCACGAATGGCAGTCGAAATGAATTACGATTTGTTGATGTTGACAACGGTGACAGATGGCGGCTTTTGAAATCAATTGTTTATTTTCCAACTTGTCATAGACTAGCAATGATTTTCTCAAAGAAAAAAATCATGTAAATATTATAAACTTGTTTATTATGTATTATAAAGACTACCTGCTTATTGTGTTTTATTGTCCTATTCGTTTATTAGTATAAATTAAATGTAAAATATAGAGTTAAAAAGCTCAGTATTTCTATCTGATTTGATTTGTTTCCCTATTTAGAATTCTAATATTATATTTATACCTATATGTGTGATAATTAATTTGCTTGAAGGTTAGAATATAACGTGATGGATTTCTAATTCCAGTTTATGGAAACGGAACAAGTAAAGTGAAAAGTTGGTGTAATTGAATGTTGATGTTGACTAACATCAAAAATATTTGTGAGATATAATTAAAAAACTCTAAAATAAAAGTTTATGTGTACATGTTTTTCGTAATAAAAATACATTTTAAATATTTCCTTAAATTCTTTTTACAATTTATCATTTTTTTAAAAAAAATTTAAAATAATATTTATTTGTATTTACTGTGCTTTAATTTTTTTTAGAATTTTCCTTATTATATTTTTTTACTTTCATTAATGTTTTTTTAATGATCGATTATAAATATTTTTTTAATGTAATTATAGACAAAGTTTATTTCGACCCTTTAAATTTTTTATTATACTAGAGCTGGTTAACTTATTTAAATACTCCTCAAGTACCAACTTAAAAAATAATCTATAAATCTTAAGCCCTAATATATAAGTGAGAGGGGGGGGGCATCATTATTCCATCAGAGCACTGACAAGAAAGGAGAATGTTTAGTGTTCTGTTTAGTCTTCTGAAGACAAGATTTCCTCTTTTTATTTACTCAGCTGTTGGTGAAGAATTCTAAATATTCTTGCATCATGGAATATTATTTATAAACACTTGTCCCTTATTAAAATAATAGGTTATTATAATTTTTTTTACTATATCCATGTAAAGTTTTGTTGGATTCCTTGTAAATTTATTTATTTAGAATAATTTTATCTATTACATAAATTATCAGAATAAAGATTTTTGAAAGTTTTAAAAAATTGTTTTTGCCTAAAAATAGGTTTTTGCTGTTTCTTGATTATTTTTTATATTTTTGAGCAATAACAAATTTTGATTATTAAATTAAAGTATTGCTAATTTAGACTTTTATTTGCATCTATAGAAAATCAGTCTATAGTTTAGAAAATTAGTGTTGTTTTATTTCCTGTTTTGTATTTTATAATAAAATTTTATTCTAAGAATTTTTAAATAAGGTATTTTATTAATCAGACCTTCTATATATTTTTTATTGAGTAATTTTTTACTAATTTAATTTATTGTTTCTAAAGATATTTTTTGTATTTTCTTATTTATAATTCTGAAAAAAAATATTTGTATTATCTTTCTTTCTTTTTTCATGTATTGTTTATGAAAATCTTTCATGCCCTTATTATTCTTATTTGATTAAAACTAAATTTTCCAAGCTTATAAACTTTACTGCATTCGCTCTCTTATTTCTCAAAATTTTTATTAGTTTGAAAAGAATTCTCTCCCTTCCTTCCTGTTTGCTGCTAGAGTCTGGCTTCGTCTAGAACTAGATAATCCTTTGAAGCCTTATTAATGCCCAGACAGAGCTTATACTAACCTACAGAAACAAAATGAAAGTTCTATTTATTATTGTATCACCTGTCCTTATTGTACTGAATTTTTAGTACTAATGCTTATTTGTGAAAACATTATTTTTTCTAATAATTTCTTAACATTTTTTTGTCTGATTGCTATCATGGGTTATTATTTGCCTTTAAAACCAAATCCTTTGAATTTAGATGTAAAGGAACCGAATTGGAAAAGCCTTATACAGAAACTTGATATGGTGTCATATCATTGCAGCATGCCTGTACTGGAAAATGTACAAGTCTCATTAAATGAGATATTAGAAGTACGAGGAAATCCTTTAAAAGAGTATGAGTTATGGGGTCTACTGTTTCAGACAACTCAGGCTGTACAGGATATTTTTTTGCGAGGTTCGTATATAGCATCTGTATTCTTATACATACCATTCTCATATTTCTAACTTGTTTATGTATCTTTTTATGTAGTTCTTTCTCATATAATGTAAGTGGTTTTGACTTTAGAAACATATTTTTCAATGTGTTTTATACAAATACAATAGTTTTAATTAATTTATGGTACAATGTTTATTCAAGCAGTTTTTCTTGAATAACAGAGTATGATTTTTAGGTTTAATAAATTTCTTTAAAATTATGTCGCCAAATTAATTAAAAAACATTTGAAGATGTTGATTAGCTATATCACTGTAAAAAAAGTAATCAAAACTATTTTCATTCAAATTTTTTTAATTAAGATTTTTTTTCTTTTAAAATCTATATTTTTTCTCATAGACTTTGCATTAGCAACAAAATATGATGTATGTGTTCTTAAGATATGCAGCTAAAATGTATTTTTTATACTAAAATGTATTTTATATTTCTTTCTTTTACATGTTTGGTCATATCAATTTCTTAAAGCAATCTTTTTCTCTGCTCTGAATAAATATTATTTTATTAAATCAATATCTAAGCATTTTGAGAATTGTTAATATATCTATACATAATTACTGAAAAAAATATAGAAGAGGCTAAGTAAATATAAGTAATAGTGTTTATTTTATTTTTTTATGGAAGAACAAAGTATTTTATTAATGATTAAAAATTGATTAAAAGAAAAGTGTGCCATGGTTGTAATATCTTAGACATTATTTTTAATATTAGTTAATTCAGACATTTATAATTTTCTTTGAAACTTAATAGTTGTTTGACTGGCATAGAACTTATTAATTTATACTTTAAATTAATTGTTCTTATGCATATTTCAGTTAGTTTTTAAGCTTATTTAATTTGCTTACTTTATGCAATTTATTTCATTTATATTAAAAGTAAATATTCAGTTCTAATGAATTCAATATTTACTTTGAATATAAATAAAATAATTTTGAAGGGAATTATAATTGCTTGAGTTAATTTTTTTTATATTTAATATTTTGTCAACCAGAATCAAAAATTTTTTTTTACTGCATCATGTAACAAAAATATATTTAATAATATTATATTTTTGCTACATGGTTCACTAAAAATGAATTTTTGCTTCTGGTTGATAAAATATTTCAAAAAATTAAACTTTATTTTTGAATAAACTAAAACTAATGTTTTTTTTTTTTTTTTTTTTTGAATTTTTTAGCTCCCGGTGGCTGAGCGGCAGCGCTTCGCGCTGCCGTGCCACAGGTCTCTGGATCGATCCTGGGGCTGGGCAGGGTTGACTCAGCCTTTCATCCCTTCTGTGGGTCGATAAATGAGTACCAAGCACGCTTTGAAACTAAACACTGGGGGTTCCGCGTTCGGCTGACCACCTGACCGGAACATCTGCTTCTGCACCCCAGAGCCCAAGGTTAAGAAAACTGAGATGGGCACAGTAGGCCTTGGCCCTCTAGGGCTGTCACCCCGCTGAGTTTAGTTTATTTATTTAGTGAAAGTTGGAGTTAGAAAGTTTTGCATTATAATTAATATTTTAAAAACCCTAAAAGAATGAATTGCAAGAGTTATAGTCATAATTGGTTAAAAAAAGACTAGTTATTATTGGATAAAAAAGATTTTTTATAGATGTTGATAATACAATATTTTTATATGAAAGAACAAGTTACAATTAGCAAATTTTCTCTAGTGTCATTGATGCAGTTTTAATTTGAATTTTTTTTTATTTGACAACAACAAATTTATAAAAACTAACTCCATATTTTTTAATTTATCATAGGCATACTAATCAATTTTATCAGAAAAGTAGTCTTAAAACTAACTTCTAATTTAATGTTGCACCTAAAATATACTTTAATAAAAATTGGATAATATTTTACTTTTAATTAAAATTCTTGATTTTTATGTTTGAGTGGTGTGTTATTTACTTTGCACTGTAATATTTTAGGGCATGCAAATGAGGATGGTGTTCCACAATATTTAGTTACGCCTGATAACCTTCTCTGCACTTCAACGGGAAGAGTTATATTAAGTGTTTCCCAACTTGAAATCATCAAAAAATCTCAATCTTGGTGCGATGAGCTTGAGGACAAAAATATTTGTTCTCAAAGTGAAATCTTGGAGAAGGTATGTATTAAAAATTGTACCATAAATTTTTTTTTTTTAGTTCAGAATATCTTATTACAGGGCTGATTGTGCTCCGGAAAAAATCCGGATTTTTCGCCAACAGTGATCCTGAAGTTTCCGGAGATCGAAGGTCCAGACGTTTCAAAAAATTATTGATCACAGAAGTTTCCGGAAATCAAATTTTCAAAGGTGGAACTAAAAAACACAGTTTATTTTATTAGTTTGTAAAGGAGAGCCAGAGAGATACTTTATAAGCTTATATTCATGATAAATATATTATATTTATATCAGTAAATAGCTGTTATAATCATAAACCCCAGAAAGAAAGACATATTTGTAAATTTTAATTACTTCTCCAGGTCATCATAGGTATGTGTAAATGGTAATAGGTATGTGCAAAATTTTAAATATATTTTAAGTAAACTAAGAAATATTGAGAAAAAGGAAGAAAAAAAACAATGTTTTAATTTTTTTCTAATTTTTCAATTTAAACCGTTTTTTTTTTTTTTTTAAACTCAAGAAATTTTCTGGAATTTTGATCTGGGCTCACAATCACCCCTGTTATTATATCCTGAACTTTTAAACATTGAACAGAATATATATTTGTTATCATTATTCTGAGCTTAATAGTCATTAAATGTTTTTGTTATTATCTTGATGTTATTATTGAATATTGCTATTTTGTGGCTGTGTTATTGGATAATTGCTATCCATATAATCTTATTTGTCTTCAAACAACTATGTATATGTTATTATTGAATATTGCTATTTCATGGATATATTAATGGGTAATTGTTAAGGTTATGAGCTTATTTGTGATTAAATGGTTTTGTTACTATGTATATATGTTTTATGTTACTATTAAATATTGCTATTTCATGACATAATATATAACATGTGCCCCGTGGCAGAGTTGCAGCGACTGTCATTGTCTCAGAACGACATTGTCTCAGAACGTTACTGAGTTTTTGCAGAAAGATTTTTCTTTTGGGAAGGGGAAAATTTTGGGTTTTCTTCCAGCATAATTTTTTGAAATATGTTTTTTTTTTCACTGCAGAATTTTTTTCAAAGATTCTCTCTTGCATATCAGAGAGGAAAGAAATAATTATAATTTTTCTATTCTTAGTTGAGATTTTTTAAAAATCGGTAATGGCTGGCTTCAGCTAGAATTTCAAATTAATAATATAAAATAAAAAATTCAGAAATAGCTAAATTATAAAAGATAGTTTCCTCTAAAAATGATGTTCTCTCTTTCTTTTTTTTCTTTAAAAATCATCATATTTTTCAGACACTTATTTGAGTATCTTTTGAAAGTCCTATTTGCGCGATTCATGATCGTTATTTTGGGAGTTAATGCGTGGATTTCGCAATTTTTTATTTATGTACGAATTTTAATTCATTATAGTTTAATTTATTTATGAATTTTAATTTGTTTAATGATTTACAAAATTTGAAAGAGGAATAATTGGTGCATTTTTCCTCTTATAAAATGCGAGAATATCGCCTATAATATTAAAATTAAAAAAGTATTACTTTTACAATTAAAATTTTTGTACGTTTTTATTCTATGCTTTCTTTGGTAAACACAGCATTTCTGTTACTTTAAATTAGTACTTGTTATAATTAAAATTATATTAATGAAAAATATTAGTGCTGAGGAAGTTTGTCACAGAATGCCCGAAAAAATTCTGCCACAGGGAATGGGTCTTCATCATCTATCATTATCTTTAGCTTATTTGTCATTAAATGATTTTGTTACTATGTACATATGTTTTATGTTGCTGTTAAATATTGCTATTTTTCTTATCACAGATATATGTGTTTTCTATTGGCCAAACTATATTTCGTGCTGCTTACTTTAGTATTAGTGATAAAAGTCAGGTAAATCATTTAATATATCTCATTTTAAATATGTGATTTAGGTGTTTTATTTTAAATTTAGTCATGAAAAGAAATAGTTTTACTATTTTCATCAAATTTATTTTTGTTATTACACCATAAATTTTTTTTTTTAGAAAAATCCATGTTATTGTATTTTTAACAGGATTTAAATCATCTATTAGCTAGTATTGAGTGGGTATCTATTGAGTATCTAGCTAATGTATTGAGTGACTTTTTATGAATTTTTTGTAATTAGATTTTCTAAACTCACTGTAAGTTTACATGAATGTATCTTTATATACTATTGACACAAATTTTTCCAAATACTTTTCCTAATATTTAGATTCAGGCGCTTCCTCTGTAATTTATTCAATAATAATTCACCTATATATTATTCACCCATCAAGATATGACATCTGAGTTATATCAATTGAGCTTATTCCTGGAATTAAGGGTACGAATGTTATAAACCTAAAAATAAAAAAAAATTTAAAAAATGGAGATTTGGTGAGAAGCGCATTATTAGGATCAATTTATTTTTACTTAGGATCATTTTTTTGGTTTATTAATGCTGTCTTTTGATATTTTGACAGTATTTCTTTTTTGATCTGGGTGGTCGGAATAGGAAGGCACAGAGCCATTTCTGTTCTTTCTGAAAAGAGTGCTAGGCTGTTCATACACTTTTTATGATTTACTATGTTTTGAAAAAATGTCAGAAAAAAGGTTTTCTATTTTAAGGAAACGTACAGAATCAACCAAAAAACCATAATGAATTTGAATTCAAAATATTGAAGAATGTTCACATATTTCAGACCCTTCCTCTATTTGAACATAAGAAAAAATGAACACTTCTGTTCAACTTATTTGCCACCCACCATCTCTTGCTTGTTTAATAAAAGTGTTGTAGTGTTTTGTAAATATTAATTTTTGACCATTATATGAAGATTTAAACAGATTTTTTAGGCTTTTTTTTGTCCTGATATATTGTTAATTTCAATTGTCAAATCATTGTTTTTGGTGATTATAGCTCTACGGAATTATGACTGATATATTCTGCATTATATATGTAAAGCATGCAGTGTTGCAAAAAATAAATTAACTTTTAAAAGGAAAGGCTTTAAAGTGTTCAATGTTGGTTATTATTTATGATTTAAATTGTGTAGTTCCTAATATTAATTTTATTTTGACTTTCAGAACAAACTATCACCATTAATTAGAACTGTCTTTCAAGGATTGTGCCAAAAAGATATTGATTTGCGAATGACTTTGTCTGATGTAATACAGGTATGAGATGCATTGATTTATTGAATTCGTATTTTTTTTTGCATTGTTAAAAGAAAGATTTTACTTTATCGTTCGTAAAATATGTGGTATGAATAGATAATTCTTTTTCACTGTATATGATAATTTTGTTCAACACATCATATTATATAGCTGAAAATTAAAAACTGTTTACTGACTTCATAGGTCTTGTTAAAACTTTTAATAAAATACTATACTCCTGATGATTTTATTTATTTTTAGATATATCTAAATTAAAAATATGAGTTCGTCTTTATGCAATTTCATATAGCAAGAAGCAGCTATACTACTTTTCATGTTATAACATGTAGGTTTCTAATTGGATTGAATTTTGAATAATTTGAATTTTGTTGGTAGAATTTTTGTAAACATAGCTAATATGTGTATGGACAGTGACTTCTTGAAATCAGCCTTACTTTTCAATTATTGTTTTACATAGCAGTAGAGAATCATTAATCTGAAAATTGATTAATTGAATTGTCTAAGCAGTTTGATTGATCGATGGTCTTCCGTTGTATACCACTTTTTATTTCTCTTGAAAATCTGATTTTCTTAAGGATGTCAATTTTTTTTTGTCCCTTATTGTCCTTGGAGAGAGGATCTAAAGACATAATAGTCACAGTGTTTTCAGCCCAGAAAAATAATGGGTGAGAATTTCTCACCCTTTCTCAAAAACAGGGTGAGATTTCAAAAAGTTAAGTGAGATATCTAAAAATTAAAAAAAAAAAAAAGAACACAAAGAGACTTGAAAAAAAAATCATTTCTTTAATTATAATACATTTTTAACATCTTCTAATTTTTAAAGCATTGAATATTTTTTTTGCATCATCGTATGGAAAATGTTCTACATCTACTTTTTCATCAGCTATTCTCATTTGGTTGCTCAAATGCGTGTTTGTTTCGTTTTGATCGTTTCTACCCACATTAGTTTCATTTTCATTCGTCTGTTTCGGAGTAGAAGATATTGCCTTTACAAGGTATTTGTCCATCTTACATTAATGCGCAAAAAATTTTAACTTCTTACATGGAGAAACCTTACCTACGGTAAACACGAGGGTTGCTGAGAAATGCGTTTTGAAAGAGGTTCCTTGGTTCCGAGGGATGATGTTCTGTTGTTCTTAAAGGTTCTGAACAATACTGATAAATAGGGAAGCTAGATAATGGGGCAGATATTGAAAATAATGAAAGATCCAGGAATATTGAAAATAATGAAAGATCCAGGAAGGAAAATGAAACGGATTTCATTCTAAATGGCGCAATGAAAAATTTTTTTTCAAAATGCTAGAAATTCACAAATTTTGAAATTGGATTATAGAATGTACGAATTTCTCGCGGCTATCATTTTTTAATGCGAGAAAAGAAAAAAATATGCTAAATTCTCGCATTTTTGCGCTGTAGGGAAAACACTGAGTCAGCATTGAGTTAAAGCAGCAAAGATAGAATCTAAAATTATGATGAAGAGTTTATCTATAATGCCGATCAAATTGGGCTCAATTTGCTTAAGAGTGCTCTATTTGTCTGTGACAACTACAATTTGACTAAGACCACCATAAAATAGCTATCAGTGGTTAGAATTATCAGACCAGTAATCTATTAAAAAAAAACAGTGTGCTATTTTTTTTATATGGTTTTCTGGCTTGTATTTTGTCTCAAAATGAGATATGTCACATAATTGCGAACATTAAAAATTCTCATAATTGTAATTTTTCATTAAAAAAAATTTTATTGTCTTTTTTTTTACAAGAGAAACATGTAAACGGACTAATGGAATTGTATATGAACTAGTAATATCATTTATTTACTAGTGCTTCTGAGCAGTGACTAAATTTTCTTAATTTCTATCCCTGTAAAGAAACATTAGCGTAGACAAACAAGAGTACCAATTACCAGTATAATTGCCAGAAGAAATATGAGTGGAATATACAAAAAGAAAAAGGCAAAAAACTTTACCCTAGCATTTTAATTTTAAATTAGTCTACTTATATGGATTTTTTGTTTATTGGGTTGGCCTCAGTTCTGAATAATGAGCACCCTACTGTAATTGTTTTGATTGCAGTTTTTATGATTAAAATTTTAGAATTCACATGTGTCGATAAAATTCGAAGTTGAAATAAATCTTTAAAACGTACATAATTTTTTTCCTTAGGTTTGTACTCTGCATGCTGAAAAATACATGGATGGGTGTACATTTTCAAATGTGATTGTAAAGTTGCATCAAGAAGTCCTAGGAAGTTTGCCAGAGGTATGACTGTCATGAAATTATCGAATGGTTTAATGGTTAAGGCACTAGGCTGTCATTGTGAAGGACTAGGGTTTGACCCCCCAGCGGTGACTTGAAGCCCTCCCAGCTTCAAATCAATGGGTACCAGCGTGTCTGGAAGTAAAGGCGGTCCGTGTGCAATTATTGAATNAGACCAGTAATCTATTAAAAAAAAACAGTGTGCTATTTTTTTTATATGGTTTTCTGGCTTGTATTTTGTCTCAAAATGAGATATGTCACATAATTGCGAACATTAAAAATTCTCATAATTGTAATTTTTCATTAAAAAAAATTTTATTGTCTTTTTTTTTACAAGAGAAACATGTAAACGGACTAATGGAATTGTATATGAACTAGTAATATCATTTATTTACTAGTGCTTCTGAGCAGTGACTAAATTTTCTTAATTTCTATCCCTGTAAAGAAACATTAGCGTAGACAAACAAGAGTACCAATTACCAGTTTAATTGCCAGAAAAAATATGAGCGGAATATACAAAAAGAAAAAGGCAAAAAACTTACCCTAGTGTTTTATTTTTAAATTAGTCTACTTATATGGATTTTTTGTTTATTGGGTTGACCTCAGTTCTGAATTGTCTGAATAATGAGCACCCTACTGTAATTGTTTTGATTGCAGTTTTTATGATTAAAATTTTAGAATTCACATGTGTCGATAAAATTCGAAGTTGAAATAAATCTTTAAAACGTACATAATTTTTTTCCTTAGGTTTGTACTCTGCATGCTGAAAAATACATGGATGGGTGTACATTTTCAAATGTGATTGTAAAGTTGCATCAAGAAGTCCTAGGAAGTTTGCCAGAGGTATGACTGTCATGTAATTATAGAATGGTTTAATGGTTAAGGCACTGGGCTGTCATTGTGAAGGACTAGGGTTTGACCCCCCTGCGGTGACTTGAAGCCCTCCCAGCTTCAAATCGATGGGTACCAGCGTGTCTGGAAGTAAAGGCGATCAGTGTGCAATATTGAATCCACAAAAAATTGTGGAGTCTTGACTTCCATGGCACTTCTGGTCCCCAATGGGCTATTACAGGAATGCTTTTTTTAAAATTGTATTGGGATTTTGTTCTTGTTCAGAATAGTTCAAAAATTTAAATAAGTTCTGAAAGTTATGCAATAGATAGCAAAATTATGATTGGACAATTTTCTACAGTTGTTTTTTTATCCCTCTCTTTTCTCCTTATAACTTCTCATTTACCTGTTATTATTTTGAGGCCGTTCATTACTAAATTTTTTATTTGAATTTTCAAGAGAATATTAATCTGATTTCCATTTTGGGAATAATTTATGTCACTTCTTTATCAATGTAATTATTATTTTTTTAATAATAAGCACTCTAGTTTTATTGTCAAAATGATGTAAATAAAACATAAGGTTTATAAACTATGTTAAAGGGTAAAAAGGAGCTTTGGCAATTAAAAAAAAGTTTCATTTTGTCTAGTCAAGAGATAAATATTTTTTGAAATATTAAATTATGAAAGTATATGGACTTGCTTAATGAACTCAATTTAATATGTCATAAAACAAAGGAAAATTAATCATTAAAATGCTATTGAATATTTTTAAAAAAATCTGGATCTACTTAATAGTTTTTCAGAAAAATTAAAAGAATTATTCTCTACAGCTAGTTTTGTAAAATTTTACTTTAAATCTTCTTTAATTCGGGAACAGTTTAAGAGATAATGTTATCAAAGGAAGCTTAGATCTATCTGTTTTGAATAGTTCATGCAAAAGAAAGAAAAAAGAATGTTTTATAAATATAGGTAATAAATATCTTCATTGCTTGTCTTCTTGCCTGAAACTGTTGTTTGCTTATGATAAGATGTCCAATATAATATAATATTAATTCTTTAACTTAATTAACAGTACATTAAATTTTATTGCAAAACTATTTTTATTTCATTTTCTTACATTAAATTTATATTAAATTGAGTACTAAGGTGTACCAATATTACTTATTAACCGACCCATATATCTATACAACTAAGTAAGAGCACAGAACCTTTCTTAATAAAGGACTGCATTCTCAGATATAGACATGTTAACAACAATTATGGTGGTTTTTGAACATCTTTGTTATTACACTAAATCTTTTTAATCAGTCAACTTAATACGTCCCAACAAGCCACAGGTTTTGCACACCTACAATAGTGAATAATCTATAAAAAAAATTCAAAATTCTACTTTGATCTTAGAAAATGCTACAAAGTCGTTTAAAGTTGTTATTTTGAAGGTCTCATGTTTACTAATGTAATCTGCGAAAATGCAACTAAATGTCTAACGTACGTTAGATTTTAAGGATTCTGTATTCATAACCTTGTGTGTATATTTATTTGATATTTTATTTTTCTATTGCAGAATGAAATTCTATCCCAAGTTGATCAAGATATCTTAAGAGAAAATGAAGCAGATGATTTAAAAAGTAAGTATCAAAGTTAAATTTTTTAATCCTATCCAAGCTAATCTAGCATCATCAGTTTAAATTATTAAAAACTGCTAAGCGAACATTATTTATGAGCTTATGATGGGATACCCTGCTAAGCAAAGTATTCTATCATAACAAAGCACATTAGAATAAGTCGAGTCTTTGTGCTTTATCAAAGAGAGAGAGTAAAGAGGCAAGGTATACTTAGTTCTGTTGTTGATTAATTGCAACTATGATTTTTGGAATGTTTTCTTTAAATAGTTCTGCCAATATTCTTGAAATGCCTTGTAATTTATGATTTAAACATGAGTTTGATTCTTTTCTGTGTTTGATCATGTTTTGTATTCATGATACATTTATCGCATTTTTGAGTAATATTTTTTTTTAAATAGAATATCAGGTAATTCTTTTAATAGAATATCTGGTACTTTTTCCAGTGGAATATCAGGTAAAAAGTCTACAATATTTGTTATTGAACAATTATTGTTTTTTAATTAAAAATAGTTCATAACTTAAAGACTTCTGGGAATTTTTGTGTAAGTAGTTTTTTTCAATTAATTTTTGAAAAGCAATGATTTTTCTCACACAATCAGTCTTCGATATCATCCTGAGGCGAATTCACATTTTAAAAAAAATTTGTGAGATTATGCTAATCTGTGTTTTATTGCCTATACGTTTTAATTTAATCATACATTTCAATAATGATTTTGAACATTGGATATGCATGCAGTTATAGCCAGGCGTGGTTTACAAATTATGGCTTTATACATATTTTACACAATATTGCATTGTGTACCAACATGGGTTACAAATCTTAATTATCTTTAATTTAAGGATAAACATTTATTGATCATTTTAAATGTGATTCTGTTATTTTTTTTTAATTTAGCAATTTTTTTTCTATCATCATACATTAAATTATGTGCCTTATAATATCATAAGGGATTGAATAAACTTTTATGATAGCCTTTTCTTTTTAATGAAGTTTATTTCATAATTCAATAAGTTAATTTTTTTAAAAATACTTTTCGTTTTCTATTTTGTAAACTTTTGTCATTAGAATAGTTATTTATTTTGTTAATTTATTTTTTCATTGTGTTTTTTTCTCTTATATGTGAATAAATAAAATAATTGTTTCATAAAAAATTTTCTTCACTATTTTTCTAAATTCATTTCAATGTTTTTTTTTTAATACTTGAAAAGCAATAAATTTGCTTACATGTAATTTTTTAAGAAATTATTTTTACTCTTGTAGCATTAAATAAAATCCATAAGTCTTTTCAATTTCAGTAAGTTTATGTTTCTGAAACAATGTATAGTTCCACCAGATTTATGATAAATTTTCCTACATTCTATTCAAATGATCCTTTTTGATTTTATAGCCTTTTGATAATATAGTTCAAACCTTGTTGTGTATAATAAATTTACCTCATGTTCAAATTGCTTGATGTGGTCTACAATTTGAAATATATATCTGGATTATTTTTTCAATATTCTTTGCATTAAAATATAATGATCATGCTTGTGGTTTTTCCAGTAATTTGCATCATTCCTCAAATTAAATTTGTCCTGTTTACGAAAATCTGCCTTTATTGTTACTTTGCTTTTTACTCTGTAATTTACAAATTGAAAATTGCATGTATCCTACAAATGCTATTTACAAACCTAATCTTGCATAATCTGCAGACAATATTTTTATATCAAGCAGTGTGATTTATACCAACATGATTTGCAAATTCCCCACTAGGATTTATGTTTAAATAATTTCTTAACAGAACCTGACTATTTGTCTTAACGAGATTTTTGAAAACCTATTGCAATTCATACTAACCTAATTTTTTGAAGAATGTATCAATATTTAATTATAAATCTCTCATTTTGATTTAGCAGAATTCATATTCATGTGATTGAATTGTGAACCTTACACTATGATGCATACTAAGAGATTTACGAACTGCTCATTGCTACTCACATTTGAAACACTTTTTGATTTGTATTTAAAACACTGTTTGCACTGTTGTGGCTCATGTTTTCTCAGTTTGCAAAACCCTTGTCTCTGTTTCCTTTTGATTGATAATTATGTAATGTGATTTGAAAATTGGATATATCTCTTAACTTTTTGCTCATAAATCAGGCATGAGATTCTTCAAACTTTTGGTGAATTTGTCAAATTTCTAAAATTTAGAAAAAATTAAATTTCTACATTTATTATGTATTTATTCTTTTTTAATCATGTATTTAATTTATCTGTTAAGTTTAACAGTTTTTCAGATTGTACACACATTTATATATTTATAAAAAACTTGTAAAGCATGTAAATATTTTAGCACATTTTGATCAAAAGCACATTTAGCACAAAATTCATATTCATGTGATTAAACTGTGAACCTTATACTATGATGCATACTAAGATATTTAAAAACTGCTCGTTGCTACTCACATTTAAAACTTTTTTTGCATTGCCATTTGCATTTAAAACACTTTTTGCAATCATTCTTTGTGGCTCATGTTTTCTCAGTTTACAAAACCTTGTCTCTGTTTCTTTTTGATTCATAATTATGTAATGTGATTTGAAAATCGGTCATATCTCTAACTTTTTGCTCATAAAACAGGCATGAGATTCTTCAAACTTTGGTGAAGTTGTCAGGAGCTTTCAGACTCAAACTTTGGGAGAAAATAAATTTCTAAATTATTTGTTTATTCTCTTTAATCATGATTTATCTATTAAGTTTAACAGCTTGTTAGAACAGACACATTTTTATAAAAAACTTTAAGTAAGTATGTAAATAATTTAAATGTTTCCTTTTTGTGCAAAATAGTTTCATACTCTTTTTTATTAATTTTTTCATGACTTTATTAATTTATTTATTAATTTTTTTATTAATTTTTTCATACTCTTTTTTATTAATCCCCCCCCCTCGTTCTGTTCTTATATCAAAAACAAATATTGAAAGAATTTTCTGTGGTTAAGCAATCACATATGTGGGTAATTAATTTTTTAATTTATGTATTCATTAACATATATATATTTTCTTCAATTAGATGCTAATAAAGAGATGCTTGATTTGGACTACAGTGTGAAATATCTATCCTATGGCCATAGATTAGGCTATCATCCTGAAATATCAGTTAATATCAATGCAGGAAATATTTTAACTGCAAAGGAGCGTTGGAAAAAAGCATATCATGGAGTTAGAGAGCAGATACTGAAATCCAAGTTACATATTTCTACCAAAGATGAAGTCCTTAAAAATTGGCAGGAGCATAAAGCTCACCAGTCAATCTTAAGAGTTTATGAAGAGTTAACTGAAAGAAGGAAAATGCTTGAATTATTACGATTGAGTATTAACATTGGCCCGTCTGCTCCTGTTGATGTGGATACAAATCTTTTAACCACCGGTTAGTTCTGTTTTTGTTTTAATATAACCGTCCTTGAACAGCCGACCAAATTTTCAGTTTACGGCTACCAATGCCCAACTCCATTATTGTTATTATTTAATGCAATAATATTGTAATGTTAAATGTACAAGGAAGAGGTTCTATTAATTTAATTATTATTGAATGAGCTAGTAGCCTAAGCTGTAGAGTTTTTTTTTTTTGGGGGGGGGAGCGTTTGAGTTTTAAACTATAATAAAATATAGCATGTACAATCTATTACAGTAGTTTCATTTTTAAATTTGCTTTTGTTTGGGTCCTTATCTGCTATCTGGATAACAGACAAAAATCTAAATTCATAATACACTGGTATAATAAATGTCAGTGTAGAATACTTTTTTGAGTTTTATTTAATTTAGTTTATGTGGTGTTTGCCTTAAGACAAATTTATTTTCAGCAATTGTAGAAGAATTTACGATTTCAAGTCCGCTATCTAAACTGATTTTTTTCTCATTATAATGTTTTTTTATCATAATGTTTTTTTCTCACTATAATATAAATTGAATTAATTAAAATAAAGGTATACCTTTGTCAAATAATTAACAAGTTGATACATTGCTGACTCATATATTAATGATACATCACTGATGTATTGATGAGGTGACTTTTAGGTTTATCTAAGTTTGTTTGGATCCCAAATAATGAATAGGTATAATTTTAGGGCCAGGATTGCCTGGTTGGTAGGGCACTGGGCTCATTGTCCAAGAGGTTGTGGGTTCAATCCTCGCTGGCTGAAGACTCCTCACGTAGTATATGGTGACTGATGCACACCAAATCTGTTAGGTCACAAAGTCCTTTATGTTCGCATAACAAATCATTCCTCTGAGAGTACTGATTCAGGAGTTTTCTTGTCTTTTGGATTGGGTTCAAAATTACAAGGCTTTGGAGTTGAACATTAGTTGTCATAAACCCAAAATTGGATCGGCTGTTCAACGACGGTTATAAAATAAATATCATTTTAAGTGTCCAAATAGTGTTTGAGAAACATGCCATATGGCTCATCTTGCTCACACTAGGACAAGTGAAGAAACTTTTTTAACTTTTGAAATAAATATGCTTGTGAAAAAAGATTACATACCAAATCTAGACTAAAAAATAGGCTAGAAATATTAAAACCATGATTCATAGTCCTGTGGGTTAGAAATAAAGGTTATGCTGACTTTGGACGAGGCACTTCTATTAATGAATGAAATGAAAAACTAAAGCTACTAAAACAAACCAGTAATCCTTTGGTGCAAATTTTTTCTTGAACATAAATTTTATACTTTTTTATTATTTTGAATTAATTAATTTGGACTAAAGTATGTGAAAAGTATTATATTTAGCATTTTAATAATTTATGATTAAATATACAGTATGAAATACCAGTGTGTTTTTCTGTGTTAAAGGTAAAATCTTTCAAACACGGCTCACTTCCAAATTATAGTTTTTCGAATTTGCAGTTTTCTAGATGTAAGAAAGCAGTTGTTTATTATTGAAACTTCTTTAATTTACAAAATCATTATTGATAAATTTTGTAACAAAATTTTTTTTTAAAAATTTAAACTACTTTTTTTAATTTTAAATTTTAAAGCAAATATAATTTTGATAATCTAACAGATTTTAAGTAACTATTAGACTGTTTTTTATTATAAAAAAATAGCAAGATATAATTTTGCTAGTATTTAGAGCTTTGGAAAATAAATATATAAATGGGACATCGGTGTCCCATCTTCGTCAAAAGTTTAAAACTACTGCTTACATTGAGAAGGAAAAAACTGTTAGATGATTTTGAAATAGCATTTATAAGGTTTTTATGATCAATGGGTGAAATTGATCATAAAAATCTTATAAATGCTATTTCAAAATTTGCTCACAGTTTTTCTCTATTTTTTTATGATCAATGGAGGAAATATGAGGCTCATCCAGAAAGTAAGTTTCCCTATTTTTTTGAAAAGAAGAACTCAAACTTTCAGGATCCTATTTATTGGCAACAAGTACAACAATGCTTCAACTATTTTTCAACATAGCCACCACCAGAATTGAGACACTTGTTGTATCGTGGGATCAACTTTTGTATCCCTCTGTCGTAGAACTCTGTCGCTTGTGAATGGAACCAGCATGTGCCGAAAAAACCGGACACCCGAACACAAAATTCAACGCTTAGGACGCTGTCAGTACGAAAAGTGATGTGCACGGTGCTCTGGGACAAAAAGGGCATTCTGCTCATTGACTTCCATCCAAACAGCAAACGCTGACTGTTACTGTGAAACAATGAATAAATTGTGACGTGCCATTCAAAACAAGAGTCGTGTAATGCTTACTGCAGGTGTTGTGCTTCTCCATGACAATGAATGATCTTACTCCCAGCGATTTTCACGTTTTCTTACACCTGAAGAAATTTCTTTCCTCCGGTGAGCGTTTTGGCAACGGCGAAGAGCTGAAGAGGCCTGTCACACATTGATTCCATTCACAGCCGGCAGAGTTCTACGACAGAGGGATACAAAAGTTGATCCCACGATGCGACAAGTGTCTCAATTCTGGTGGTGGCTATGTTGAAAAATGGCTGAAACATTGCTGTACTTGTTGCCAATAAATAGGTTCCTGAAAGTGTGAGTTCCTTTTTTTAAAAAAATAGGGAAACTTACTTTCTGGATGAGCCTCGTAGCTGGGATAGCCTGGTTGGTAGGGCGTTGGACTTGTGTTCATGAGAACTTGAGCTCGAATCCTGCTAACCGAAGAATCCCCCTGTATTAAATCTTGAAATCTTTTGGGATCACAAAGTCCTTCAAGTTCCCATAACAAATCATTACTTCTAGAGGTACGGATCCAAGAGTTCATTTGTCTTCTGGATTGAATTAAAAATTACAAGGCTACAGAGTTGAACATCAGTAGTCATAGACTCAAATTTGGGTCGGCTTCTCAATGACGGTTATAATGCGGTAAATTGCTATTAGACTCCACTTATCCTAAACCATTAATGGTTCTTGTTGTAAATAATGAACTTCCCATTTATGCCAAAGTATAAGAAAATAATATTCATTGTTTTCTGATAAAATATCTGCAAATATGTAATTACATGGTTATATTTATGTTTTTCTACCTTATCGTTGCTTGTTTAACTCTTTTTCAATCTTACATGATGCAAGCTAGCCCCATTTTTTTTTTAAATGGCCTTAAACTTAATTCTGTAGCTGAGCTGTTTCTATTGTTATGAATACTTTTTTAGCTATTTACCTTTTCTTTTAGCTTGCTTGTTTAATTACTTTTCAATGTTACATTTTTAGTCCAAGCTAACTTTATATGCTTTTTAACAGGGCTAAAACCAAAAACTATAGCTGAACTAGTCCTATTGTTACAAAGACCTGCTAAGCAACCTGCCATTTCTTCTAAGTCACATACTGAAGTACAAAATGACAATAGGGCTTCTTCAAGTAGCGAGTATGTAAAAGTTTATAATATTTTGATTTAAAATTCCTCTCTGAATTTTTATAGCTGAGTTAACTTTTTTGTTTCAAATTATCAAATGGAGAACACTGAATAACAATTAACCCAATTGTTTCAAAGGTTATAAAAGGTTTTTTGCAAAATGTTTTTTTTTTNTTTGTTCAGGAGATTTTTTTTTTTTTTTTAAATTTTAAGAATTAGATTATTACAGTCTCTTTTCTACAACTTAGTGTCAAAGGAAATTTAATGTATTAAAAATCAAAATATGGTTATAAAGGAACCATATTTGGAATGATATTTAGAATGAAATGATAGTTAAAATAGTTCAATAACTGTTACTCACAATGTTATTAAATATTACTCAAGGATGTAACATAATATTCATTTTATAAAAAAATTCTGTAATTTGCATTCTGTAATTAATGATGTATTGACTTTGTAAAATTTAAATGAATGCATTTTTTAATTAATTAAATTTCTCTAGTAGTCTGTTCTAATTCCGATTCAATCTTTAAATGTCGATAAACTTTAGCAAGCTTTTTTGAGACCAAAATTGTTTTGCAGTTTTAGACACATAGAAAGCACACATAGAAAGCATTCAATAGCTTCTGAGCCACCTATCTTAAATTTTGAGTTACTTTTCGAATTGCAACTGGGATGATAAGTAAATGTTAAAGGCCATCTCATTTTGTGTCCACTGATAATGATCTAAACTAAAATAAAAAATAAAAAGAGGAGCTACTGGGTTGGGAAGAATATTGAGTGTTTTACGGCAAGGACTGCCTTTTATGTAGTTGTATGATTTCTATATTACAAAGTTTAAATTAAGTTAAAATTAAGAAAATTTTTTGTCAAGTCCTTATCCAATAGAAAATGATAGGAAGCTGTATATTGATTTTATTTGTTTGTTAGTTTCTTAAAATAAATTTTATATTTAACGTATCTTCTATTACTAATGGTGTATGCTGTTATAGATTTATAATAAAATTATTTCATTATCTTTAAGATTTACTATGTATTTGACCCTTATCCCTCCAAAAAAATAACACTCTATTATAATTTAAAAAAAAAAATTCACGTTTTTTTTTAACCTCAGAGTATGAAAAATACTGAATTTCGGAATTTTTTAAAGAAATTTTGATGTTAATGTAGATTACCTGAAATTACTTAAAAAATGAAAATATTTGATATGTCAACTTTTTTAGATAATGTAATATTTTTAGATTTAAGATAACCACCCTTGAAAAAAATCACCACGACAAACTTATTTTAATAGAGTAAAAACTTTTGGAATATTTTTTTGCATAATTTTTCTTCAGCTATATTGTTTTATTTATTAAGTGATTGTAATTGATGTTTTGAAACTTTTCTTTTTCTATATATTTATTTTTCCTTTCAGTTCTCAGTTTGCCTTTTCAAGTAATAGCTCTACTTCAGATGAAGAATGCCCTAGACAGCACTATTACAACATTCAAGAAGTTGCTTTAAAGCAACCTTTTTCAACTGATTCTGAATCTCAAGTAAGACTTGTAAAACCATAAATAAAACTTTACTCTTTTTTTTAGTACCTTTTTTTAATACCTTTTTTTTTAAATATCCATACTATTTTTTAATACATATTGCGTGACCTCCTGCCAACTTCTTCAACTTTTAGCCAGAGATTTTTTCTAAGCATTAAAAATGATTGCAAAGTTTATTTTTTAACATTCGATTTAAGTAGAATTTGTTCACCATGAAATAACAATGAATCAAAGATGTAAATAAACTTGTATTTATTTACATTACTTGTTATTTACATTTTTTGGTTACTGAAAAAAGAAAATTCTTTTCATGTTATGACAGTAACCTAAAGCTAAACTGAAGGCTATGTTAAAATTTTTTTATATAATATATTATGGCTTGCACTGAGCGCAGTGCTGATGTAAAAATTCCTCTTTGATAGACGGGTGATGGGTTAGAGTCCTTTTGCCGCGAAGCATACTATGGGAGGTTTTTGTGGTTTTTCTCTCTATGTAATGCAATTTGAGGTTTGGTCTATCGAAAAGGTCCCCCTCAAAGGCAAATTTCTCTCAATACTTGATTCAAGAGTTCTCTTGCCTTTTGGACTGGTTTCAGAAATTTCAAGGCTATAGATTTGAGCATTGGTAATTATAAACTCAAAATTGGGTCTGTTGTTTAATCACAATTTTATATAAAAGAATTCTATTTTTATCAATCTACTATGCATTTCACATTTTCAAACATAATTTATTATTTTTAGTTTCTGATGGGACCTGAATTTGTAATAAATCAGCTAAAACCTCCTGAGCATGCATCTCCTTTTTGTAAAGATGAGGTAAGTACTTGTNTCTCAGTTTGCCTTTTCAAGTAATAGCTCTACTTCAGATGAAGAATGCCCTAGACAGCACTATTACAACATTCAAGAAGTTGCTTTAAAGCAACCTTTTTCAACTGATTCTGAATCTCAAGTAAGACTTGTAAAACCATAAATAAAACTTTACTCTTTTTTTTAATACCTTTTTTTTAATATCTCTTGCTGACCTCCTGCCAACTTCTTCAACTTTTAGCCAGAGATTTTTTCTAAGCATTAAAAATTATTGCGAAGTTTATTTTTTAACATTCGATTTAAGTAGAATTTGTTCACCATGAAATAACAGTGAATCAAAGATGTAAATAAATTTTATAAGATGTAAATATTTATTTACATTACTTGTTATTTACATTTTTTGGTTACTGAAGAAAGAAAATTCTTTTCGTGTTATGACAGTAACCTAAAGCTAAACTGAAAGCTATGTTAAATAATTTTTTATATAATGTATTATGGCTCGCACTGAGCACAGTAAAAATTCATCTTTGGTGGACGGGTGATGGGTTAGAGTCCTCTTGCCACGAAGCAATTTAAGGATTGTTCAATCGAAAAGGTCCCCCTCACAGGCAAATTTCTCTCAATACTTGATTCAGGAGTTCTCTTGTCTTCTGGGCTGGTTTCAGAAATTTCAAGGCTATAGATTTGAGCATTGGTAATTGTAAACTCAAAATTGAGTCAGCTGTTTAACCACGTTTTTACATAAAAGAATTCTATTTTTATCAATCTGCTATGCATTTCAAACATAATTTATTATTTTTAGTTTCTGATGGGACCTGAATTTGTAATAAATCAGCTAAAACCTCCTGAACACACATCTCCTTTCTGTAAAGATGAGGTAAGTACTTGTAATATATAAAAATGATTATTTTGAATTATTTGTGTAATGGAAAAGAAAATCATAATTATATTTCTATTTACAAAATTGTATTCATATTTGGTGTTATGTGGCCATCCTTTAAATAATTTAGCGCACAACCCTTGAAAGACGTCATAATTCATCTTTTATTTACTTTTTAAAAGATATTCTATAATTTAAGCAAGATTTTGATTCTGTGCTATTAAACATTGTCAACAAATAAATAAAAAAAAGGCCGAAAAACAGCTGATAGTTCAGGGTTATTAAAAATGCCACACTGCACAAAAGATTTATACATTTCCATTGTTGAGCAATCTTTTGCTTTTTGTGTCATTTTCTGGTTGTGTAATTTGATGATCAAAAATGACTTCCTGGGTCGTGCATAGCTGTCAACTCTACTGAATTTTCCAGTAAACTACGTGATTTTGCCAGTTTCTCCTGGTCTACTGGTTTAATAAAAATTTTCCTGGTTTTTGAATATGTTAAAAAATTCCCTAAAATTGAGTAAGTTTCCTAAAAAAATCTCCATAGAAATTGAATTTTTTTCCATAATAAATAAGTGTCACTAATACATAATAAAGCAAGCCTCATTTATAAAATTCAGTTAACTATCGTAGAGGAATTAAATGCCTATTACTATTCAAAATTATGAATAAACCTAATACATAACATTTCAAGTTCTTTTAATGTGAAATCATAAGTGGAAATTATTACAGTTTTTCTTTTTTGATGACTATAAAAATCCCTAAAATACCTTATGCTTAAAATAGTTAGTACATTTTGCAACAATTATCATGAAATTAATATTAGTTCGTAAAATCTATTGGATTTTTTCCTATCCGTGCCGGCAGCTATGGTCGTGGGATTTAACAGCAATGTGTGACTTTTTTTTTTAAATTGAAGGTTTATACTAAACAAGCCTATGATCACTCAAGTGGTAAATGATAAAATTAGGTGCTATATCAACAATGGAATTCAGCCACATTTACATAAAACAATATTAAAAGTGTAGGCATGTGGCAGCAAAGCCCCTCTCATTACCTGGCTTTTCCTTACATAACTTTAAATCATGAATTAATAAATATTTTGCAATTTAAATTTAAAAAAAGCTATATTTTCTATCAAAATTACTATTTGGTTTAGTTTTGGGACACCTTATACTTGATTTTATTTAATAAAATAGTGGAATTCCTTATAACAAGTGCGAAAGAACTGCAATATATACTCATTACAACCAGTGCTCATAGGTTTGTAAAAAATTCATTTAAGTTCTGACTAAACTATAAATATAGAACTTACTTAATTTATTTTTTATTTCTGTACAGTACAAGAGATGTTGCAAAAAAAAAAAAACAGTTCAGCATATAATTTGCTTTGAATTATCTTATTGTCTCTTTGTTATTGTTCTTCGGATTAGACTCATGACCCGAAAAACATCATAGACATNTTACATAACTTTAAATCATGAATTAATAAATATTTTGCAATTTAAATTTAAAAAAAGCTATATTTTCTATCAAAATTACTATTTGGTTTAGTTTTGGGACACCTTATACTAGATTTTATTTAATAAAATAGTGGAATTCCTTATAACAAGTGCGAAAGAACTGCAATATATACTCATTACAACCAGTGCTCATAGGTTTGTAAAAAATTCATTTAAGTTCTGACTAAACTATAAATATAGAACTTACTTAATTTATTTTTTATTTCTGTACAGTACAAGAGATGTTGCAAAAAAAAACCAGTTCAGCATATAATTTGCTTTGAATTATCTTATTGTCTCTTTGTTATTGTTCTTTGGATAAGACTCATGACCCGAAAAACATCATAGACATCAAAAGGAAATTCGTGGACTTGAAAAACATTAATAAAAAAGAATTTTTCCAAGAAGGAATTAAAGCTTGGGAAGTGGAAATAAGTAGAAATTTTATGAATCACGAAAATATTTCTCCCCTTAAAAAGGAGCTATACTCTAATGGACTTAGCATTTTACCAACCAAGTGTTTCTGATTTCTACGTTATATCCGAATTCTGGTTAAATCAGGGTTTGATTTACATAACCAAGTTTGACTTAACATAAAATATTTTTCAGCATATACATACAAGTATTGCTCTGATGGTATAAGAATGAAATGTTTTGCTGATGAATAGTGTTTTTTTGTTTGAAAAAAATCTTAAAACACCATTTTTTCTCCCTTTAAATAAGCATAACTTTTTGTTCTATCAAATGTGAAATTAATTATATTTTCCTTCTATAGGATATTAAGAAGTTTGCCTTCACAGTTGTTGTCCACTTGCTTTCTGGAGAGACTATAGAAATTGAATGTGTTCCATCTACAAATGGAAAACAATTGATGCAATTCATTTCTGATAAGCTTAATTTACAAGAACGATATTTATTTGGATTAGTTTTTAATTATGGTGAATATGTTTGATATTTGAATTTTTTCAGTTATTTCAAATATTATTTGAAATATCCTCAGTTACTACTGTTTACTTTTTATTCAATTTTAGTATGACTGTTTTAAATAACAATTTGTGTAATTTTTATTTGTCATTTAAAAATGGTATGTGAATTTCTAATTTTTTTTATTTTTAAGAAATGATATTGATAGTTCAGAGCTCTTAAAAAATGGCTAATTATGAATTTTTTGTTGGGTTGTGAATTTATTTGTATTTTTTTTCTTTCAAAGAAGTACTTAGAGTTGCTTATTATTCATTTGAATTAATTTTGTATTCTTAAATGTAGACTATTGACAGATAGTCTACAATTAATAATATAAAATTAATAGCTGTTAATTTTATGAATAGCTTTTGGTTTTTCAAAATTGTGAGCAATCTATAATGTAATTCTATTACATGATTGAAATGTATTGTTTACTCAAAATATTAGAGTAAAGTTTAAAAAAATGTTTTATACTTGGTAAAGCCAATACGTAATGGGAAGGGTGGCGCTACTTTCAACAAACTGTGTGTATTGAGTATTTTCAAAGACCTTTAAAGTATTACTCAATACCATTATTCTAGGAATACCTTTTGAGTCTAATAGATTTCATAGAGTTGTTTTAGAAATTAAGTATTTTTTTTCATAGTGTGTGAGTTATGAGTGTTAGAACTAATGAAATCCCATTACTTCTGGCTGTATTCCTTGCTTATTTTTATTATTTCATTTATAGTTTTATATTTTACATGTTTGATTGCATAATTTTTTGTTTATAGTATGAATTTGCTTTCCTTGAACTACTTATACCTTTCTTTACAAACTATAATTTTTCTACTTTAGTTTTAGAATAGAGATAAAATTCCCGGAGGATTCCTTTGAAACATGTTTTAATTTAGTTAAACACAAAGTTGTTTTTGAACTGTTTAAATTTTCACTAGATTGCCTCCATGAAAATAATTATACTGAATCAAGTATAAGAAAACAATACCAAATGAATATCGTTATTTATTTTTGGTTTCTTGGATGTGATTTTTATCATTTTTTTTTAATATTTAATTTGGTAACATAGGCAATATTTTTTTTCTAAGTATCTAAACCTTGTCCAAAACTTGCTTGTTCTTATTTGCTAAACTTACATTATTATTTTATAATATTATGATTTTTTTATTAGTTGTGCAAGTTTTATTATATAACAATTTAGTATTTAATTGGCAGATTTTAATAATTTTATTTAGGAAATAAAATAAATTGTTGATTGAAATTGGTTGCTAAAGTAGCTTGTTTGTATTTTTTATTATCTGTTTAGGTGGTGAATATACATTTTTAGAGAAAAAGCAAAGAATTAGAGATTTGCTTCGTTACGATGCAAATTCCACTATATTTTCTAACAACATGATGCAGCTTTATCTACGAGTGAAATTTTATATTGATGACATTCATCTTATGAGGTAATTTTTATTTTGCACATTTATTTTGTCTGTAAACAATCATTCTCTTCTTAACTGAAAATAAATTTTTGTTGTATTTGTTTTAGAACCGGTGTGTCAAGAAGACAAGTTTATTTACAACTGTTTCAAATATATAAACTGACATATTCAAAAAAATTTGAACCAATCACATACAAGAGGAAAAGTTATCCTCTATTCCAGGGCTCGAAAAAACCCAGAAATTTTACTCGTCCCCGAGGACGGCTTGTCCAACAATGTACCCGTCCTCCTTTGAAACTAACCCGTCGCTTCTAAATAAATAAAAATATAATTTTCTCTTATTTATTACAAACATTTACATAAACTGCACAATGAATTAGTAGTTACTAGGATTACAAATACTAGGATTACATTATGCAGTAATACGCATTACATTATATAGTATATACTAGGTTACTAATAGTAACCTAGTATTTCCTTTGTGAAATAATTTAAATGACAAAGGTCAAGTTATCTGGAATGTCAATTTATCCGAGGGTACTGCATTTTTGAAATGAATCAAATATCACGTTTGCCAGTTCCACAATCAAGCCAATGATTTACAGAGGTTTCTGCATAGAAATCTGAAAGGGGTTTTCCATTTAGGTAGTTGTTCATAACTGAGCTAAACGCTTCTTGTTTAAGACCAGTACGTAATGTAATTCATTGTAATTATTGTAAGTTCATTGCTAAAAGCCTCTTTCAACCGCTGCAGTACTCCCAGACAGAGAAAACATCAATTCCACNACGCCTTTAACATAAAATATATTTAATAACAAGAAGGATGATGATGATGTTACAGTGTTATGGAGGAAAACTGTGTAGAAACTAACTGATTTTACATTGCTGCGCAGAGCGCCATCTATTGAGTATTAGAAATAATTAATATGGAGAAATAAATAATATTAACAGGGCGGACGGGCTGTTTTTCGAGCCGTGCTCTATTCTATTTTTAAATGAAATAGCCAAATGGGTTTTCGTTTATTTTTCATTTTAGGATGCAATATTTGTAAACCATTAAGATATTTATAAAATATCTCTGCGTAATTAAGTACTTACTTTTGAGTATAATTACTATGGCTCAAACTAGCTATGTACTGTGTACCCGTAAAGATTTCAACTTGCAAAAGAATATCCCTATCTGGTATCAGGAGCCCAGACTCAGAAGACCTAGTACCTGGATCCGGTCAATTTTACTAGGTATCCAGAGCTAGGAAACACTGTTTTATGTTTGAGACAACCTTATACAGATTAATAGTAACCTTAAAACTATTCATAAAGATAATTATTGTTTTCAAGATCTTTGTATTCTAATAGTTTCTTAATTCTTTAAGCTGAAATAACAGTTTAGGCACTTCATATTTTACTGATGAAATTTTAATTCAAGGAAACATTCCATGTTGCTCAAAAGAAAGTCATACAAATTTAGTAATATATTTCTGAAAACTTTTTTATGATAGTTAAATAAATGAAATCTTTACCTGTGTTCATAGAAAGATTCAATTTTCCCTGCTTACTTGAACCAGGAAAAAAGTTTGAACCTATTACTTCTCATTGTTTAAACTTTAAATGTAGGTACAAACATTTTCTGCTAGTAAAATTTGATAAATATCTGGACCTAATATAATTCTAATTAGTTATGCAATGCATCTTACTGAAATTACTGTAATCAAACAAAAAGTACAGGATTTGTTCAAAAAATTCTTTTTGACCTTTTTTTTCCAGGAGGGGAATATATATATATAACGTCGTTACCGAGTGGAAGGATTAAAACAGGTCTTCGGTCGGGAAGGAGGGTACAAAATTTATTTATTAATTATTAGAACAGAGCAGTCATGAAAATATGTAAAAGTGCACACGAAAACTTGCCCTCCTTGGTTATATGTTAGGGAAAATCTTGCAAAGTAAAATCCGTAAAAAAAAGTAGCAAAGTAAAATGTCTTAATTTAGGGAAAGAGGGAAATCTTAGTAGTTGCTATTGGTTTATGAAATAGATCGAGCATTTCCCACACAGAGCAAACGGAAATATGTCCTGCTTTTAATTAAATGCACACTTGAGCCAAAAATAGATTTAAGAACAGGATGTGGCTTTTAAAAGTGTGAGAAAGTATTTCGATTAGAATAATTAATTAGAATAACATAAAAATCAATTGAAGCTTTTTATGTTACATCCCCCCTCGCCAAAAATGTTTAATTACAATAATAAATTTTAAAAATTATCCATTTGCAAAATCTTCCCTCTGATAGAAGCACAATTAAAATGAAAAATATCAAATTTGTAATGTTGACAATATATAAAAGTAATATAAATTATAAAACATTTACATATGTTCTCATTGTAAAAATTTTAACACAATCAAAAATCTGTAGTAGCATTATCAGCAATTTTAGGATTTTCATTTTCAACAATTTTTTTGACTTAACAGTTTTTTCAGTTTCAAAAGTATTTTGTTTAAAGATCACATTACAGTTATTCTCCAAGAAGTATTCCTTATAATACCAATTTATGTTAACTCTTCAATCATGATGACAAAAATTTATAAACATTTGTTAGATATGTGTAATTTAAAATGTAAAACACAAAATACAAAAAAAAAAAACAGTTTTACAGGAGAAATTTCAATCTGAAATTAGATTTGAGTTTTGTTTACCTTGTTAGAAAACAAAATAAAAATTTTAAAAAAAAATTGACACAGTGGTTGTTATTGTGAAGTCCAAGATTTCAGTATTGTCTTTATTTCACTTAATTTATTATTTACCTTTCATATTTGTCTCCTTAATAGCAAAATACTTGAAAATTTCCTGAAATTAGGAATTTATTAATTTTCTTGGATTTGCACAATTCTGTTAACATGATTTTGACATTGTTATGCACCATTATCATATTTAGTCTCAAGAATATTAGAAAACACAAGATCATTTTCAATTCTGCTATTTGAAATTATTATTTTTTTTATATAAATATATTTATTTATTTATTTATTTTTTTTAATGTCCAAAATTTGCCTTCTGTAACATTTTTTCTTTTCTTTTTCTCTCTTATTTTTCTTTCTACTTTCTTTATATTTATACTTTTCTTTCTACATTTTTTTATACTTTAATTTTCTTTCTTGGTATTTTTATTGCAATTATTAACCCGGATTTCAGGAAATATGTGTAAAGACAAATTGCTTTTTTAATCAGAAAAGGTGATCAGTCTTCTCAGATTTTGCATTACAACCTGTTTAACATAATCACTGATTGAAATCCAAAACAAACTTTCAAATTTAATATGGTATTAAGGTAAATCAGTTTTTAATTTTTGACTGATCTAGCTATTTTCCTTATTTTTAATCTAAAGTGCAAGTTTGGTTAATTTGCAAATTACCTTTTATTTATTTATTTTTTTCATTTATATCTTTCTTTCTTTTTGGACATAATTTTTTTTTTTCAAAAATTTTAGTTTGGATATTTTTTAAAGTAATTTTTGTGTAGAGATCTTAATTGGTTATTTAATTTGTCACAATTGTGTGTTAGAAAATTCAAATATTTTATTTCTATTTCTTACGTGCTTTTGAAGTGAATTTGGTTACTAATACTTTTCAATTTGTGTTTGATCATTTTCCTATCTGTATGCTGGAATTGTCACTCAGCAATAAGAGACTTTGTTTTTTTATGGACATATCTGAGCTACAACTGAGCTATGAACTAATTACCAACATTGGATTCAAGCATTAATGTTTGGTTACTCATTTCTCGTCGAATTAACGAATTAATCGCATTTCTCAAGGTGACGAATGCTTATCTCTGGCCCTGAATAATATAGCTAAGTTTTGATTATTTTTCAATAAAGAATAAATTTATTTCTTTGTAAAAAATATTTATACTTCATCTTTTTAAAATTTCGAATATTTGGTATTTAACTACAGTAGGGAACCGATTATCCAGAACGATCGGGACCATCGCTATTCCGGATAACTGATTTTTCCGGTTTTCTGAATCGTTACAAAAAGCCGTTTTTTTATTGTTAAACCCAACTAAAAATAGAAAAATATTTAGAAATAATCTTAAAAAGAAGAAAAAACGATGAAGTAATACACTAATGATTATTTCTAAAATGATGGTAAGGTAAACATCTTTCAAAAAAGAAAGAAAAATCCTAAAATCTTATGAGGAAAAAAAA